ACAACTGTAATATTTTTTACTTGTTTGGGACACTCTGTATCTTGTAAAAGTATTTTTACATTGTAGCTCTAATAGTCCCAAAACTTACAATTTATAAAAATCTTATCGTTTAGCGACAATACTCCGTGTCGTATGTGGTGAACAACCCTGTATACAGCGAAATTGAAAACGTTGCATTTTTTTACTTTCCTGGCAACTTGGTTATCTTATAACTTGACGAAAAGGTAAACACTGAGTTTCATAGGGATTTTTACGTAAAATTCAGCGAGGTCACTAGTTTTTTGTGGGGAGAGTTCTCATTCTTAACATATGACATATGACCTAAACTTATGATTTTTAAACAGGCTACTCTCTATATTACTTTATTCGTCTTGTTATGGGCATTCTAAAAATATAACATACTATACCGGATGCGTCTCAAAAGTTATAGGGCTCACCCCTATAACTTTTTATTTTTTCACATAAACAATGAGATTTGGTCAGTTAGTGTATGACATAAATTAGGATTGATTGATGTCTATGATTGATGTATTCAATTGTTTTTGGTCACTTCCTGTTTCACCGGAAATGACTACAACTTTTGATTTTTAAATAGCACCCTCGGTATACTTCTACTTTATTCGATAGAGAATGACATATCATATGTCAACTTTTGACATTTTCGCATATAGTTTATTTGAAATGCGGTTCATAATGACAATTTGACTCGAAATACCAAGTGGTACCAAATTATTCGTAAAAAAATGCTTTTTCCCAATATGCTAATGAGAAACCCTTGTTCCATTTGAAAAAATTGATTATGTTAAAAAATACGATTTGAGCATCTTTTAACCGACCAAAACAAGACATGAAAAACATTCGACCAAATCTTTTTTTCCAAGGATCCTTGATTAAAAATTAGTGTTTTTAACACACTCTATATTGAAATTTAAAATACGTTTTTTTTAATGCGATTTTATTTTAATATAGTTCGTTGTGTATATAAACTACCATACGACCGAAAAAAAACGGCGTCAAAGACGGCTGGGGAATGACAATCGTTGATCATTTTGGCGAGGTCAAGCTCTTGACGTCATTTACTTAGCCGGTACTCTACCATCTTTTAATGGCATGGCGCTTAATACCATTTGGCCTTAAGAAGGTTTTTTTTTATTTTTATATTGAATCAAATTATTTTTAAATGATGTAGTACGCTTAAAATTTGACATTTTTTTGGAAAAAGATTTGTGTCTGGAAACGTTATCCTTTTTTAATCAAGGATGTGTTAATTTTTGACAAGTTTTATGTAAAAATTTAGTAAATGACATCTAGAGATTGACCTCGCCAAAATTATCAACGATTGTCATTCCCAGCCGTCTTTGACGCCGTTTTTTTTAACATACGGTAGAATTTTTATACAGTTATGTTGTGTTATGTTCATGGGGGCGTTTTCTTCTACAGTTACCTTATTAAGAACAACACTTTTTATCGTTTAGTATTCTTTTTTAGAGTTAGAGAACTATACCAGATGTATCATATCAGTACCCGTTCTATTGGAATGTATATGTTGTATGCAAAAGAAAAGATTCTTCGTTTTTACGCATCTGAATTTAAAAAAAACCGTCTTTCTAGCAATAAAAGGCAACAGTGACAAAAAAAAACTTTAAATTAAAAAAAAAAAAAAATGACAGACAACTCAACTTGTTAATATTCTCTTTTTGCGCAGACTATTAACTATTTCATGGTTCATTCATTCAGTCATTACAAAAGGCTAAAACACCTGTTGTTACTCAAAAAAATAAACACAACCTCACGAGAATAAAACTAATACCAAGGCCTAAACTGATGCTAGTTAAATATTATTATGTTTTTAAACAATTAAACAAATTAATGAAAACGTACATATTTCATATTTCCTTTTCATTCATAAACTGCTTCATTATACACCTTTTCGAAGGTTCTCATATACCTATTAAACAAATTACAAATAATATTTCACGTAAATACAATTATTGCAACATTCTATACAGGTAGGTATGCATGCAATATTTAAATTATTGCTAAGTCGTAAAATATTTTGTTTACACATTACATATAATATTTTTAAATCGCCTAAAATACCAAATTATAGAAACAAATTTTTCTTTATTGTTGTTAATTACATAATTATTTTTATTACTTATTATTAATAATATAAAGAGTTATATTAGGATGTAACGTATGTATTTGTTATGAGAAATAACAACAACTAAATAGAAATTAGAAATAACAGTGTAAAAAAATCTAAAAGAAAGTTCCAAACTGAAATAAGGAATAAGTTAAAATGCCAAGGTAAGTAATTGTTGAATTATTTCAACATTATCATTCACTTAAACCTTTTTACTTGATACCTACCAATTTACAAATCAACAATTATCAACATTAATTGTACCTCTGAGAATTGTACCGTATGATCACAGATCTGTGGTATGATCGAAAATAAACGGCGTCCAGTTGGCTTGGAAATGACGATCGATGACATTCCCCATATAATTTTACATACAAAATGACAGCGATCTTCATTTCGTAGCTATCGCTGACGCCGTTTTTATTCGATCATAATGTATAAATCAATTTAAGGATAATATACAGGGTGGTCCGAACTGTATTCCGGAAACTTCGGTAGCATATTCTGCAGATAAAAACAAGTAAAAAAGTTCATATAAATATATATGTTCTAAAATGCCTAGTTTCGGAGATACAGGGTGTAGAAGCACAGTAGAAGTTTCATTTTTATTTCGATTTTTTCCAAATAATTTCTGAAGTAACGTCAATATATGGATGAAAATTGGTGTCTGGTAGTTTTTTGACATGAGAATGAGAAATTTGATTTTGATGTCAATATGAGGGTGCATGTGTTTTAACTGTTTTGAAGAGTAATAACATTTTTTTTGTCCGTACCTGTATAGAACTACCGAGTGAAAAAATATACATTTCCGTAATTTTCTACGTATAAAATGTCTCTTGGTAAAAATCGTTACGAGCAACCCTTCTCGAGATATTTAGAATAAAAATAATCAATGCATGTCATTACTGACAAAAAATAAACATGTTGTGTAGATAGTTATTTGACTGAAATGATAAATTTGGGAAATTTTTATTTTTTTAAATTAATCATAAAATTTTCTTCAATAAATGATGATTGATGATGATATGGCACAAAAACATATTTAATTTATGTCAGTGATGACAAGTATTGATAATTTCGATTTCAAATATCTCGAGAACTATTACTCGTAGCGATTTTTATTAAGAGATCTTTTTTACGTTAAAAACGTCGTAAATGTATATTTTTTTACTTAGTAGTTTTATACAGGTACGGACGAAAAGTTATTACTCTTCAAACCAGTTAAAAATATGTAGGTGGCGCCCTCTACAAGTAGGAGTCATATTGACATCAAAATCAAATTTCTCATATCAAAAAACTCCTGGACACCAAATTTCATCCAAATATTGATGTTACTTCAGAGATTATTTGGAAAAGATCGAAATAAAAATGAAACTTCTACACCCTGTATCTCCGAAACTAAGCATTTTAGGACATACTTTTATAATAACTTTTTTACTTATTTTTATCTGCAGAATATGCTGCCAAAATTTCCGGAATACAGTTCGGACTACCCTGAATATTTTCAATGTGCAAATTTGCCGAAAATGACACTTATTTAAATTAATACCGTTGTTAATACTAACGCTGTATACATACCTACCTAATAATATTTTATACATAAAAAATCGAGTATAAAGTTAAATAAATTTAAAGGTCGTTTCTTATTTGATTGTAAACATTGTTGAAAATAAACCGCCTAATTGCATTATGATTAATTAACTTATTGGCCAATATTCGTAATATTTGTGCCATGGATTTCATTACCTAGCTTAAAAAAATAAACAAGAGTGACCTTAAAAAGATTTATCCATATAATAGAACAACTACTATAGGTGTGTGTTTTTTAGTTTTAATATTTATGAAGCTAATAAGGCTAATATCTACAGTAAAAATGAAAGTATCTAACTACAGAATTTTTTGTCCATCGTTATTATTTAATACTTAATAAGGTAAATAATATGTTATTAATTATTTCATAAATAATTTAATTAACTTTGAATGTTTTTCAAATATATACCGTATGATCGAAAAAAAAACAGCGCCGAGTTGGCTTGGAAATAACGATCGATGACATTCCTCATATAATTTTACATATAAATGACAGAGATCTTTTTATTTCATAGCCATCAATGACGCCGTTTTTTTTTTCATCATATTGTACCGTATGATAATAAATTAAAACTCTAAATTTGAATGTCACATGATTTTTAATAAATTTCCTCCTATTAGTCTTTAAAAAATTACGATTTTTTTATTTGCCATAATGAGTTTCTTGGCCGGTCAAAATAGGTACATACTTGTGAACCGTCTATGACTCATTTTAAGGCACTACAAAAGGTATAAATTATAAAAAGGGTAAAGGAAGGAGATACGCACTCTTGATTTTTCTTCAAAGTGTAAGAACCTCAAGCCAGAAAAGTGCTTTTCGGCATTAATGTTTTTTAACAAGTGAAAAAAGTATTTACAGTTCTTTATTTCAATCTTATAATAATTATTGAAAGTTTAGGATCTAACGTTTTTAACTAGTAATCCTTGGTACATCTTTAAGAAATGACTAATTATTGTACTGCGAGAGGTGAAATAATACGATAACGCGGAAATAATGCATTCCGCATTGTAAAAAAACAATTGCCTAATTGTTATTCTGTAATCGTTAAAAATATTAAACATCCTGCAGACAACTATTCAGAGGGTATTTAATAAATATACTAATCAAATTATTTATTAAAAATTTTATACAATTTTCATACCATTATTAAAAAAGGTAAATAAGGACCTTTTTGTTACAGTAGGCTGTGTATTAAGTTTCAATAATTAGCACTGTCGTTATGGGCAACGTAAACAAATATCTTGAACTTCTTGAAAAACTTACCGATGTAGAAGAAGGCGACGATTCTGAGCTTTTCCAACTCCATGGTAAAAACAAATCCTTTTCGAATTCAGTTACGAAACACGCACAACAAAAAACAATCCGGACATTCCAAACATTTTTACAAACTACACATTATAGAAACGAATAATAAAAACTTTAACGTAAAATAATGAGAAACTATAAAAATGCTCTATCGCGCACAACCACCTGACAAAATGTGCCTGCCTTGTTTCAGTTGTTTCTTACCTTACTCACCTGTAAAAAAAAATAATAAGTCGAGTAACTGACAGTTACTAAACAAATGCGCAAGTGCACAGGTAATTTGTTTTTGTTATGCTGGCAACCAAACATACACGAGATGGTTTTAAAATTTAATAATTAATTTTAATGTAAACATAATATCCTATAATACTAAGTTATTTGTAATTTTAACTTCAGTGAATGGAAGATGTAACAATCTTTATATTTATTTTTCTATGTTAACAATACATAAAGATGTATTTTGTACTTATATCCAGATTAAAAACACGTTTTGGTAGGTAAGAAATAGACTTGACAAGAATGTCTATATTGGTCTATATTTAGAAGAGAGAGACATTAATTTTAGCTCATAATATTAAATCTAGAAAATTCAGAATCAAAAATTTTAAATAAATTTATAAATTGTTTAAATTTACCGCCATAAAACCGGAAACTCGTATGACAAAACAAATGACTAATCAAATCCGTCATGGCGCCTTCTGTCGCTTATCATTTTGAACAGTTCAAAAACTCGACCTGAAAACGTATTAAATAGTGATTTTTTGTTGAAGTTACTTGAAAAAGAGGTGACGGAAGATTCCGAGCTAGAAATACATGAGGTGTTTTCGAAGAGTCACGAAGAATATTCAGAAGAAAAAATGAGTGTAGATGCGTATGGCCCGAGTTCTCAAACTCTCACGTTTCTCGATACAGAAGAGGCAGATCTTATTGGGGCAGATACCCAGGGCTCCGAATGTGATTTCACAGATTTTACTATCCCTTCGCAAACTCAAGCATCACAGCATGATCACACGGGACCCAAAGTTCATGGCGTACAGGTTAGTATATAACATTTTCAAGGACGTATAATTAGGAATATGCAAATATTTAGGTACTAAATATGCAGGTTTTCGACCCTTATTTCAACTCTAAATTAGATATTTTGTCTTTAGAATCAAAAGGAGGTTTCTCTTTATATAATTACATCCATGTTAATGAAAAATACATAATATAGAGATTTTTTATACAATACTTGCCAGACCTAAATATTCTTAAATTGGTTTTATAACTATTATCTTTAGCATTAAAGTACTTCTATTACATCTTAATCATTTCAAAATTTATTTTAACAATCTGTAATCTGGACTATTTATATGAGATATATAGATAAAAATCCTTTTTTTTTATTAGATAAACAACAACTTGTCAACTAAAATAGCATCTGTGACTACTGCTTTGGGAGAACTACAATTTGAAGAAGAAGATGAAGAGTTTTATAATAGTAAAGAATTACCAGATTTTGCCTGCAAGTATTGTGGCATCCACGAGCCAAATTGTGTGGTAATGTGTAACTTGTGTAAAAAGTGGTTTTGCAATGGAAGGGGAAACACTTCTGGGAGCCACATTATAAATCATTTGGTATATTAACTTTTTAAATAGATACATACAGTAGATTATTGTTTTTTTTTAATTAGGTTAGAGCCAAACATAAGGAAGTTACACTCCACAAGGATGGACCTCTTGGTGAAACTATTTTAGAATGCTACAGTTGTGGTGTAAGAAATGTCTTTGTATTGGGTTTCATCCCAGCTAAAGCTGATTCTGTGGTTGTACTGCTTTGCAGACAGCCTTGTGCTGCTCAAAATTCCTTGAAGGTACAGAACTCAATAGTTGTATAATTTGTAGAATTGTAGTAATACATAATTTTATAGGATATGAATTGGGATCAAGACCAATGGAAACCCTTAATTGCAGATCGTTGTTTCCTTACCTGGTTAGTTAAAATTCCATCTGAACAAGAACAACTTAGAGCGAGACAGATTACTGCTCAGCAAATAAATAAACTAGAAGAATTATGGAAAGAGAATGTTGATGCAACTTTTCAAGATTTAGAAAAGCCCGGAGTTGATGAAGAGCCACAACAGGTAATTTAATTTTATATTTTAAACTTCTATTTTTTTATCATAAATTGGTCATAGGTTCTGTTGCGTTATGAAGATGGCTATCAGTATCAAAATATATTTGGCCCTTTGGTTAAGCTGGAAGCTGACTACGATAAGAGACTTAAAGAGTCTCAAACTCAAGAAAATATTGAGGTCAGATGGGATGTTGGACTAAATAAGAAGACTATTGCCTACTTTACATTAGCAAAAACTGATGGAGACATGAAATTGATGCATGGGGATGAATTAAAATTGCGGTAACCATATAATATCAATAGTTTTTGTTCACAATAATTATGTTTGTTTATTTTTTAGTTATGTTGGAGAAATGCATAAATCCTGGGCTGGAATTGGTCATGTTATTAAAGTAAGCTTATATTTAAATAAATCTACATGATGTTACAGTGTTATTCTTTAGGTTCCTGATAATTATGGTGAAGATATTGGTATAGAGTTAAAGAATGGTTCAGGAGCTCCTACTGACTGTACTAGTAATTTTGTTGTTGATTTTATTTGGAAGAGTACAAGTTTTGACAGGTAACTAGTAAATATATTTAACAATTTAGAGCATAGAATTAATTTCTGTTCTTTTAGGATGCAAGTAGCATTAAGAAAATTTGCAGTTGATGATGCTTCTGTTTCTCAGTACATTTATCACAGACTGCTCGGTCACGAAGTGGAAGAAGTTCTATTTCGTTGCCATCTTCCAAAACACTTTTCCGCTCCAAATTTGCCAGATTTGAACAGATCGCAAGTATATGCTGTTAAACATGCTTTACAAAGACCTCTTTCATTGATTCAAGGTATGATAATTATTATATTATATTGCAAATTTGTAATGGCTTTCAATAGGGCCACCAGGAACTGGGAAAACTGTAACATCGGCTACTATTGTGTATCAGTTAGTGAAGCAAAATGGCGGACCAGTGTTGGTATGCGCTCCTAGCAACACAGCTGTAGATCAGCTAACTGAGAAAATTCACAAAACGGATTTAAAAGTGGTGAGGTATGGTAGTATATAATTTTAAGAGACTACTTTTCAGAATGTTGTAATGTATAATTAATATAGTTTTGATTTACAGACTTTGTGCTAAATCTCGTGAAGCTATTGATTCTCCAGTTAGTTTCCTGGCTTTGCATAATCAAATAAGAAAAATGGAAGGTAACACTGAGTTACAAAAGTTGCAGCAACTTAAGGATGAAACCGGGGAATTATCTAGCATGGATGAGAAAAGATATAGGTATCTTTTTAACATAATATGTTTGTATTTTTGTAAAGACTTTTTTTTATATAGGATGTTGAAAAAATTGGCAGAAAAGGAACTTTTGGAAGCAGCTGATGTTATTTGCTGCACATGTGTTGGTGCAGGTGATCCACGTCTTGTTAGATTGAAATTCCACTCAATTTTGATTGATGAAAGCATGCAGGTATGTTTTAGCAAAAAACTTTAGGTAAAATATAATGAAATCTACTTTTTGATCGCTCATTTTAGGCAACAGAACCGGAATGTATGGTGCCAGTTGTGTTGGGTGTGAAACAACTCATTTTAGTAGGTGATCATTGTCAATTGGGTCCAGTTGTTATGTGCAAAAAAGCAGCTAGGGCTGGTCTGTCTCAATCTTTATTCGAGAGACTAGTTGTGTTGGGTATTAGACCTTTTAGATTGGAGGTACAGTACAGAATGCATCCAGAACTGTCGCGTTTTCCATCCAATTTCTTTTATGAAGGAAGGTAAGTCTTGTCGCTAATGAAAAATTCCATTGTTATGTCTGCATATCTCATCAAAACTTTTTACTCATACTGTGTATACAGGGTTTTCGAAAAATGCATTATATCTGGTTTCTTATTTGAGATTTTCACTCCAATCTTTTTTACATATTATGTAACACATTCAGGCAATGATACTACACATTTTAAAAATGTTTTCATGAATATACCGGATAGTGTAAATTCAGTCTTATACAACAGTTGAAGTTATTTAAACGTAATGCGGTATATTTTTTTCCTTGCTGTATTTGCCATATTCCCATTCCAAGAATGTAGAATGTTTAGGAGGGGAGTTAATCACCGCGACCTTATAGATCTATTGTGTGTATTCCTATTCCAAAAGTACCATATAATTTTTACTTGGTGGTTCGTGAAATACTACCGTTTTAAGAGTAATTGTTTTTACATATACAGTATCACAGATAAAGTCCGCATCATATGGATTTTTTTTTATTTATACCGGGTGCGTTTGAAAAGTGGCTCACCCCTATAACTTTTTTTTATTTAAAAAACGAGATTTGGTATGTTAGTATATGACATAAATTAGGATTGATTGACATATTCAATTGTTTTTGGTCACTTCATGTTTCACCGGAAATAACTACAACTTTTTAAATGGCACCCTCGGTATTTTTTTACATTATTTGATAGAAAATAACACTCTGAATAGAATGACATATCATATGTCAAATTTTGACATTTTCGCATATGGTTTATTTGAAATTATAACTTGCGGTTTGTAGCGAAAATTTGACTCAAAATGCCAAGTGTATGGTATTAAATTTTTCAAACCAAACCTCGTACCATTTGAAAAAATTGAGATATGATTAAAAATACGATTTGAGCATTTTCTAACTGGCCAGAACAAGACACTAAAAACATTAGACGATCAAATCTATTTTTCTAAAGCTCCTTGATTTAGAATTAGTGTTTCTAACATAGCCATGGTACCCTAGATTGAATTTTAAAATACGATTTTTTATTAAGCGAGAATGTCAAAAGTTGACATACGATATGTCATTCTATTCAGAATGTCATTTTCTATTGAATAAAGTAAAAAAATACCGAGGGCGCCATTTTAAAATAAAAAGTTGTAATCATTTCCGGCGAAACAGGAAGTAACCAAAAACAATTGAATACGTCAATCAATCCTAATTTATGCCATATACAAACATACCAAATCTCGTTTTTTTATCTGAAAAAATAAAGTTATAGCGGTGAGTCACTTTTGAGACGCACACGGTAGAGTTAGGTGAAATTTGACTGGGGCGATAGTTTCTGTTTTGATTTAGATTAAAAATGACATAAGAAAATTTACTCTATCACTTGGGTACCTGTCAAATTTGACATTTAAAGTAATAAATGGCAAAAAACGGATTCCCTGGCCAAATTTGCAAAAATTATTTTATACAAGTACACGGAGCCTACAGTATATGGCCAAATCTGAAGCTACTATCTGAGAGGCTGAACTAGGCAAATGTACTCAAGGTGGTTGAGTTGAGAAATTGCTTGACAAAATATAAAGTTGGATAAAAACTTTGTTGATTGGTGATAAAAAATACTGGATGTTCCATTTGAAATTGTGGGGATAAACAATATTTAGGCTCACCATGCATACCGGGTGCGTCTCAAAAGTGGCTCACCCCTATAACTTTTTTTATTTTGTCACATAAAAGAAACGGGATTTGGCATGTTAGTATATGATATAAATTAGGATTGATTGACGTATTCAATTGTTTTTGGTCACTTCCTGTTTCACCGGAAATTCCTACAACTTTTGATTTTTAAATGGCACCCTCGGTATTTTTTTACTTTGTTCGATAGAAAGTAACATTCTGAATAGGAGTCAACTTTTGACATTTTTGCTTTAAAAAAGATCGTATTTTAAATTTCAATCTAGAGTGCCATGGCTGTGTAAAAAACTCTAATTTTTAATAAAGAAGCTTTGGAAAAATAGATTTGTTCGTCTAGTGTTATTTGTGTCTTGTCCTGGCCAGTTAAAAGATGCCCAAATCGTATTTTTATTCATATCTCAATTTTTTTCAAATGGAACGAGGGTGACTCATTAGCATTTTTGGAAAAAGCATTTTTTTACGAATAATTTGGTACCACACACTTGGTATTTCGAGTCAAATTTTCCTTATGATCCGCATGTTACAACTTCAAATAAACCATACGAAAAAATGTCAAAACTTGACATATGATATGTCATTCTATTCAGAGTGTCATTTTCTATCGTAATAAGTAAAAAAAAATATCAAGGGTGTCATTTAAAAATCAAAAGTTGTTGTCATTTTTGGTAAAACAGGAAGCGACCAAAAACAATTGAATGTGTCAATCAGTCCTAATTTCTGTCATATACTAACATACCAAATCCCGTTTTTTTTATCTGGAAAATTAATAAGGTTATAGGAGTGAGCCACTTGTGAGACGCACCCGGTATAACAACCAATTTACTGTGAATAGTTTTGAATAAGACACTATTTTAAAACACATTTCATTTAAGCATGCTACAGCCTTAGTGTAAAAATATATTTTAGTTATAGGGTTAGGTTGCAAGTATATTTGTCAAAAAAAAATTGTGTGCATATTTGAAGTGAAACATCTTACCAACAATATTAAATTGAAGGAATTGAAGGATAGTGTTGCGAGCCGGTGTGGACTCGACCTAACCTCACAATATGGCCCGCCCTCGGATGGCCTTAACATCGCATAGACACCGCAATGATTCATTCGTTCGAGAAGAATCGAGACCCACTAGAATGGACTAGTACATACGAGAACATTCGAAAACCTTCTCTATGCGCCTAACGATCTATGGACTATTCTAGATTTCTTTTGCTGTAGGTATAAAAGCCGGCGGCAGTGGCCTAGAGAGGGCAGTTATAAATATACAGTTGACGCGCTAAAATTCAAAATAAATTCTTAGTTATAAATCGTTTGTAAATAGTTCTATAAGTCTTTTATCGTTATTGTTTTTGTTAATTAGTGTTAAATAAATAGTGTTTAAATAAATTGTGACTTTCTATCCACACGGAACCGACGAAAAACGTAACAATATGTTTGAAAAAGTGTAGTTTGAAATGTTAAAAAGTAATAAATTAAAAAAAACATTTTTCACGCGTAAAAAAATAGTTTTTTACGCGTAACAAACAGTTTTTTACAGGTAAAAATAGTTTTATATGCGTATCTTCCGTAAAACACGTCTCGTCACTACATATTTCTGTGTGTCTCGCTAGCTCGTGTGACACGGCTTTGAATTTTTACTCCCAGCGCGCGCCAACTTCAAAGATTTACAATCAATGAGAGACTTTTTCAGAACACTTGGGCATTTCATATTTTATTCCTTGTAATATTTATTGAAGTGAAACTTCTTTAAGCGCGCTGAGAGTAAAAATTCAAAACCGTGTCACACGAGCTAGCCAGACACACGGGCTGTCTCGCCGTAGCTTAGAAATACGTAGTGACACGACGTGTTTCATTTTACTATTTGTTACATGCAAAAAACTATTTTTTACGCGTAAAAAATGTTTTTTTTTTAAATTTATTACCTACTTTTTCAATATTTCAAACTACACTTTTTCAAACATGTCCTTCAAATCCTTCAATTTAATAGCTGTTAGTAAGAACACATAGTGCAAACACAATTTTATATTATTTTTAATTAAACTACATATTTTGTTTGTGTTATTTAGCTTGCAAAATGGAGTTAGTGCTGAAGAAAGAAAATTAATCAAGATTGACTTTCCTTGGCCCATTGCTGATAGACCCATGTTTTTCTTAGTTACACAAGGTCAAGAAGAAATTGCTGGTAGTGGAACCAGTTACTTGAACAGGACAGAAGCCGCCAACGTCGAAAAAATTGCTACCAGGTATGTTATAATGAAAAAACATTCTTAAATATATTTTATCTATGTCAGTGAGTTAAGAAGCTCTTAACTCACGCATTTTGAGTGAGTTAAAAGCTTCTTAACTCACGCATTTTCATTATCGCTCTCCTTGTTTAGATGACTACCAAAGAGAAACAAATATTTTGTAAAACATTTATTTTGCACTAAATTGCAAAAATATATGATGAGTACCGTTTCATTTCCATAGTTGTGTACTTTTTTTTGGTGCATCATTTTTCATACTTAGAGTATGTATATTCATACTTCTGTTTCAATCTTGCTGGAAGCAATCCAGAAATGGCTCTGAATGCCTCTTCTTCAGTGTCAGAGGGAATACTTTCCTTATTGCTCTTTTTTTAAACTAGCGATATCAATATTATTTACTGTCATATTTACATTGCCATGCATGGTGTTGTTTCAACAAAGGTATTAAGGTAATTGATTTTTAGGATAGGTACATAGAGAAAGTTAATAGTTTAGAGCAGTAGTTCCCAAACTTATTTTTCTCGTGGACCACTTTCAAAATTTTACTGGTTTCGATGGACCCCCTGCTGCTACATTTCTACCACATTCTTAAAGTCGCCAAAAAATAAAAATTGTGTCACTTCTGAGTTCTGTCCCTATATTCCGATATGTAAAATAAAAACGAAAAATGGTACATTTTATATCACTTTATTTATTAAAAGAATAGAAGTTACGTATTGCTATATTTAAATAAATCTCAAGGATGTTACAGTGTTATTCCTTTAGGTTCTTGATACCATGGTGAAGATATTGGTATAGAGTTAAAGAATGGTTCAGGAGCTCCTACTGACTGTACTAGTAATTTTGTTGTTGATTTTATTTGGAAGAGTACAAGTTTTGACAGGTAACTAGGTAAATATGATTTTAACAATTTAGGAGCATAGAATTAATTTCATTGTTTCAGGGATGCAAGTAGCATTAAGAAAATTTGCTGTTGACGATGCTTCTGTTTCTCAGTACATTTATCACAGACTACTCGGTCACGAAGTAGAAGAAGTTCTATTTCGTTGCCATCTTCCAAAACACTTTTCCGCTCCAAATTTGCCAGATTTGAACAGATCGCAAGTATATGCTGTTAAACATGCTTTACAAAGACCTCTTTCATTGATTCAAGGTATGGTAATTATTATATTATATAGCAGATTTGTAATGACTTACATATCATAATCAATAGGGCCACCAGGAACTGGGAAAACTGTAACGTCAGCCACTATAGTGTATCAGTTAGTGAAGCAAAATGGCGGACCGGTGTTGGTATGTGCTCCTAGCAACACAGCTGTAGATCAGCTAACCGAGAAAATTCACAAAACGGATTTAAAAGTGGTGAGGTATGGTAGTAACTAATTTTAAGAGACTACTATTCAGAATGTTTGTATAATTAATATAGTTTTGATTTATAGACTTTGTGCTAAATCTCGTGAAGCAATTGATTCTCCAGTTAGTTTTCTGGCTTTACACAATCAAATAAGAAAAATGGAAGGTAACACCGAGTTGCAAAAGTTGCAGCAACTTAAGGATGAAACCGGAGAATTATCTAGTATGGACGAGAAAAGATATAGGTATCTTTTTAACATAATATGTTTATGTTTTTGTAAAGCATTTTTTTTTATATAGGATGTTGAAAAAATTGGCAGAAAAGGAACTTTTGGAAGCAGCTGATGTTATTTGCTGCACATGCGTCGGTGCAGGTGATCCACGTCTTGTTAGATTGAAATTTCACTCAATTTTGATTGATGAAAGCATGCAGGTATGTTTTAGCAAAAAAACTTTAGGTAAAATTTTAATGAAAACTTTTTGATCACTCATTTTAGGCAACAGAACCGGAATGTATGGTGCCAGTTGTGTTGGGTGTAAAACAACTAATTTTAGTAGGCGATCATTGTCAGTTGGGTCCAGTTGTTATGTGCAAAAAAGCAGCTAGGGCTGGATTATCTCAATCTTTATTTGAGAGACTGGTTGTTTTGGGTATTAGACCTTTTAGATTGGAGGTACAGTACAGAATGCATCCAGAACTGTCTCGTTTTCCATCCAATTTCTTTTATGAAGGAAGGTAAGTCTTCTCACTAATTAAATTTGATTATTATATCTGCATATCTCATCAAAACATTTTGATCATATTGTGTATACAGGGTTTTTGAAAAACTGTCTTTATATCTAGTTTCTTATTTGAGATTTTCACTCCAATATTTTTTACATATTATGTAACATGTGGGAAATGGTAGTGCACATTTTATTTAAAATTGTTGTCATGAATATACAGGGTAGTTTAAATTAAGTTAGGAAATAAACAACTAGCCGAAAACTACCGACCTATTAGCCTGACAAGTGTCATTTGTAAGTGTAAGGAAAAAATCGTGACAAAGGAGCTGACGGATTTCAGCAGTAAGGACACGCGCTGGGAGTAAAGATTCAAGGCCGTGTCACACGAGCTAGCGAGACACAGAAATACGTAGTGACGAGCCGTATTTTATGTAAAATACGCCTATAAAAATATTTTTTACGCTTAAAAAACTGTTTGTTACACGTACAAAAATAAAAAATGTCTATACTAGTGATTGGAGTACTCGAGCGAATTTTCGCTTGAGTACTCGATTATTGAAATAACCGACATCGCTCGATTATGGACGAGCGATGCAAGTACCAAGCGACGAACGCAAGCGATCCTAGAATGAAATAAATTGAAATCCGATTTTAATGTGACATACTCGATAAAAAGCCGAGCGAATTTTCTACATACATTGCAGGTAGCAAATTTATACGACGCCGTATATACCGGGTGTTAATCAAAAGTGGCTCACTCCTATTACTTTTTTATTTTTTTAGATAAAAAACTGATATTTGGTATGTTAGTATATGACATAAATTAAGATTGATTGACGTATTCAATTGTTTTCTCTCAATTGTTTGCGTATCTCAGGAACAAAATTTTGCAACCTACATCGACAATGCTTCGAAATAAACTAAATCAGGCGATCAAGCGAATTGCTCGCCGCTTACTACTTGCCGTTCATTACCGAAAGAATATGTGCCCTGCGCACGCAGCTTACTGCTTGGCGCTAGGCGTTAACGAATACTTACAACATGCGACGGACAAAAAACCGTATTTTTAAATACGAACGATATTTCGCTCGAGTGATCACTCGGTTGTTGCATTCGCTTGATACTCGAGTACTCGATTATTGAAATTAATCTGTTTTTCCCATTACTAGTCTATACCTATGTGGCGGATTTATCTCTCCAAAAAAATCCTTTATGGGTATTTCGCCACTGCACTGCAAGAAAAAAAGATTTTCTTGCAGTGCAGTGGCGAAATAACGTAGAAAACTATTTTGTACACCTAGAAAACTATTTTGTACACGTAAAAAACTATTTGTTACACGTAACCGTGCTTTTCGTCTCGTATGTCTTTCTAGCTGGTGTGTCACAGACGCACTTGGCTAGCTGCACTTCAACTTCAACTTGGTGGTTGCACTTCAAAGATTTACAATCAAAGAGAGACCTTTTTAGAACACTTGGGCATTTTGTAGTTTATTTTTTGTAATATTTATTGAAGCGAAACTTTTTTACGCGTACTGGGATAAAAATTCAAAGCTGTGTCATATGAACTAGCGAGACACAACCCGTAGTTAATAACTGTTAGTAAGAAGTTTCACTTCAAATATGCGCGCATAGTGCACATACAATTTTTTTTTATTATTTTTAATTGAAGTACGTATTTTGTTTGTGTTATTTAGCTTGCAAAATGGAGTTAGTGCGGAAGAAAGAAAATTAATCAAGATTGATTTTCCGTGGCCCATTGCCGATAGACCCATGTTTTTCTTAGTTACACAAGGTCAGGAAGAAATTGCTGGTAGTGGAACTAGTTACTTGAACCGGACAGAAGCAGCCAACGTCGAAAAAATTGCCACCAGGTATATTTTAATGAAAACACATTCTTAAAATATTTCTTAAATATATTTGATGCAATTGTAGTACTTTTTGTACATTATTGTTTTTAATATATTGCAGATTTTTAAGAGCAGGAGTCAAACCGGAACAAATAGGTGTTATAACTCCATATGAAGGGCAGAGAGCGTATTTGGTTCAACATATGCAATACCAAGGTTCCTTGCATAGTAAACTATATCAGGAAATTGAAATTGCCAGTGTGGATGCTTTTCAAGGAAGAGAAAAGGATATTATTATTATGTCATGTGTTAGGTAAAATTTAATAAGTATATATCCGATATTTAATTTATTGAATGTTTTTTTTTTGTTATGTGTTATAGGAGCAATGAACATCAAGGCATTGGATTTTTAAATGATCCTAGAAGATTGAATGTGGCTTTGACCAGAGCAAAATATGGAATTATAATAGTGGGCAATCCAAAAGTTCTGTCTAAGCAACCTTTATGGAACCATCTTTTATCATTTTATAAGGAACAGAAGGTAATATATGAGTCTTTATTGCACAAATCGGTTAACTCCATAAAAACACTGGAGAAATGCGATGAATAGTATGCATTGGTTTTAAAATTCCTTTTATATTAAATTATCATCAGAAATGTTACAATTTTTATGTGACTGGAATAAATTTACATTCAGTGTATGGTGCAATAAGCAATAATTTTTATCATAGAAAAAAAATAAATATTAGATGTTCATGCTTGCTTCATCTGCGGTACGAACATAGTGGAGGCAGGTTTCTGCTTTCCGGCAACCAGCGCCGTCTCTGGGGACCTATTCTTGACCACTCGCATCTTCAAATATCGCTCGCATCTCGCATCTCCTAAAAAGCCATATAACAATACACAGATTTTTAGAATTTTTTAGAATTTAGTTAATACAAACAAAAGCCAGTATCTGGGACGGTTTTATAGAGGGTAGTTCTCCATCTCCAATATCAGTTGTACCAAAATTCATGGCACGAATGGTTGTCGTCTCGGCGCACTCAGTGATGAGGTGTACTGGTGTTTCACCATCTTCCCCACAGAATCTGTATCTGCCGTTTCTTCTTAGTTTCAATCTACTGAGGTGTTCATTGAGGAGACAGTGTCCTGTTAAAACCCCGTGACAATCCGAGATTGTTCTTACTCAGACCCAGGCAGATGCGTAACTTTGCGTATATACATCACGTGTATTGTATATGGCTATTTCGGAGATGCGAGAAGGATTCGGAAGTAGATAATTAAGAGGAAATTTACCTGATTAACTAACCTAACCTAACCAAACCATATTCAAACGGCGCGCCCGCCTCGCCGGGGCCGGACATAGGTGTATTTGGTCTATAAACCTGGCCAAAAGTGATATTTTTTTATTTTCATTTTTTATCTTAACTGAACACAAATCTATAAATACTAAATGTAAGCATGTTTATTAGTTATTAGCTTTTTTAAGTCGTAAGTTGACTATCAAATAAATAATATATTTCAATTAAAAGTATGAATTATCTTGAGTGTATTCTGAATATTTCTAAGATTATAAAAATACTGGAATTGTTTGTAGTGCTTTTTTTTGCAAATTGTTCATAATAACTGTCATGATGGATACAGAGCCAGCTTTGTTTGTTGGCTCTATTCTGTTTTATGCCATATTTTTATTTTGAAACGTTTCCTTCTATCTATTTCTTTATAATGTTTTATATTTAAAAAATCAGAGGCATTTTTATAAGGTGTAAGACTATTCGGCAATATTCCGCATGGAAATTAGTATCCGTTCAATGCTTAAAGTCTCCAGCTTTGGAATATGTACAAAAATCTTGCCAATATTTGCCACTGCCAAAAAAAACATTGATTTAAATAGATTCTTAAAGGAAATAGTCTTTACCCTATAACACCCATCCTCGCTCAAATATCGTCTATAATATACAAATTACTTTCTTGTTCTAGCATCCTCATCCAATTGCTTGGTTTTGCACAGAATGGCCCTATTTGATCGGTGGAAAGGGTTTCAGAATAGAGGAAAAAATATTGTGTAGGAAAAACAAAATGAGGTTCCATATTAGCACCCTCTCCTCTAATAATTAATATTACTAGCAAAAAAGCAAAAAAATCATAAAACATAATTTTGGCCAACTTTTAGTTCTTAATACCCTCTGTGCGCCGTCGGCGCCTGCAAAAGCAGAAATAAATAAATTTTCGTTCCGGTAAAAGCGAGAACGCCGATGAACGCTGGTTGACGGCTCCTACCTGCTTTCACTGTGAACTAGCCGATTTGATAACACGCTTTAATTTTTCAAGGTTATAAGCGCGAGGCGGCGCGGCGCGGCGCTACTATGTAACCATATACAGGGTGTCCCAGAAATACGTGCAAGTATTTTAACTTAACTGGTAGTATAGTTCAACCCCAGAAACACGCCTATGAGGTTTTTTTCTAAATATTTTTTTTTGAAAATTCGGAATTTTTTGAAAATATTTTTGGAATTTTTTTGCAATTTTTTTTAGTTTTTATTTAAAAAAATAATTTCTTGATAATATGGCAACATAGGTAGTAGATTAAATTTATAAGAAAGAAAATCCAGAAAAGATCCAGTGGTTCTCAAACAAATCTCGAAGTATTGGAAAGAATATGTAAGGACCAAGAACTATTGACTACAATAAAACGACGAAAAGCAGCATATTTTGGTCATATTTTTCGAAATAACAAATATAGTTTCCTACAGCTGATCGTTGAGGGAAAGATTGAAGGACGACGAGGCATCGGGCGTAAACGGTTTTCCTGCATGCGGAATTTGCGCCAGTGCCATGGTTTAATATAGGAGAGGCAAGTGCAATTATCCGTTTGGCTCAAGACAGGGAGGAATTCCAATTGATGGTCGCCAACCTCCGATGAGGAGAAGGCACATGAAGAAGAAGGTTTTCAAAATTTTAGCAAAAATATTTTTTTTGGAAATTTCAAAGTAAAATAACTCCATTATTTTGGACTTATTTTGAAAAACGATAAAGAGAAAATATGTTTCTTTTATCGAGATCTACCACCCTTTAAAATACTTGCACTTATTTCTGGGATACCCTGTTTATAACAATACACGTGATGCGTATACGCAAAGTTGTGAACGATGTCAAGAATAGGTGCCCAGATTGGCGCTGACTACCAGTAAGCGGCAAACCTGCTTGCACTGCGTTCGCACACTTACTGTAGATGGAGCTCAAAGCTTGGTAGGGTTGTATATAATAAATATAGTACAAAAAGCAAAAATACTACGAAAATATTAGATATTTTTATTACAAATTTTTCAATAAAATGAATCTTAATAATTCTGTTACATTTTCATTTGGGATAAATTCTTCAGAAATACTGCTGAAGATGCAAATAATGTTTTCTTCATCATTTTTTGTATGTAAGGACTCATCATTTCAATTTTTTCTAAATTTTATACATTTGTTTAAGAGGAGTATCGAATTTTGGCAGATATACCATGTCTCTTGTTTTCCTTGATACAGTTCTCTTTAGGTTAAATTATTCTTAATATGTGCTAATTAATTTGACTTTACAATTACTTATCACTGTTATCATTCAGCTCTCGCTTCTGTATCTGCGTTATAATTTCCATTAGTTAATGAAAATGGCACCTGAAATAAATTATTATTCAGTTGTCAAAAAAATAATTTGTGTTTCAGTCATCATTATTGACAGCTTATCTCTTTATCTCCATGTAAACTAACTGTTCTTTTGAGGTAAGTTTACAATAATCTCACTGTAATTTAGGTTCTCACACAATGTCCTTCCATTTTTGTACATTAAACATAAACCAAATTATAAAATAAACAAGATATAACAAAATAAACTCAAAAATTTAGATTAAATTTTAATGCGTCAATTGAAACGTCAAACAGAACTGACAATAGATGGTATTTCAATAATATTTGGCTTTTACCTTAGTCTTCTTATTCATGGTAATTTTCTATAGAAACTATTGTTTTCCTTTTCATTACTATCACTGATAAGTATAAGTTAAAAACACACGGCAATCGCAAAACAATTTCCGATGCACGTCATCAATCATATCGAAATTCACACTAAAGCTTATAAACCTGACAAAATGAAATTTTGGCAAAAATGTTTAAATTTGTTGTATAATTTAAGATACCGAGCAGCTCTTCATTTTACTTTATAGAGCAAATGTTTTTAACAGATATTTTATTTAGATTAAAGCTGTTTAAACCTTTTTTTATTATCGCCATGTTGGTCACATTGCGACGAGACAGCAACGTTGTCGTTTGTTATTTGAATAATATCGTGTTGCAGATGCAATAATCTTTGGGAGTAATTCTCGTTTTTTTGCCGATTTTTATAGTTTTTTTAAGCACATTTCAAATTTTAATAACTAAATTTTCGAGTTTTTGTATTGCATTTCTGGAAATTGTGTGTTGAAAACATGCCGAAGTATTTAAACCGTCGAAACAAACAGCGTGTAAGTTTCCTGAAATAGAACGATTGATATTAGAATATTATTGATAATAGAACAAGTGATATTTTGAACGAGAACGTGACAATAAACGTCCTTTATTACCCTTGACTGCAATCCGAGAAGTAAGTTTGATTGGTAAGCACATACCACTTTCAAAGTTATTTCTACTTACTTTGATTTGTAGCGAGTAGCTGCTGCTTTAAATTTAAATATTTCTACTGTGATTGTTAGGGACTACTGTTAATAAATAAATTAATTATTAAAATATCAATTATTACATGTAAAAATAAAACGTAACAATTTTTAAAAAATGATATAATAAATATATTGTTTCCTAATTTTTCATTAAGATTCATCTCATAAATCGATCACAATCCGGCAGCGCTGTCGCCATCGCTTGTCACTCAAAGTTGGTCACGTGCATCGGAAGTTGTTTTGCGATTACTTTATTATTAAGATTTACAGCATTTTAGAAAAATGTTTTTATTCTTTTTAAGGTTTTGGTTGAGGGACCTTTAACCAATATGAAAGAGTCCCTAATACAGTTTGCTAAACCAAAGAAACTAACCAATTCTGAAAATCCAGGAGGTCATTTTATGTCTACATCAATGTTTGATGCAAGGGAGGCAATGGTCCCTGGTTCAGTGTATGACAGGTCTGTTTTTACTTCTCTTTAAGAAAATAACGAAGAAAATAAAAATATTGTCACCTTTTAGAACCGGTTCAACAATGAATGGATCAGGACCATTCGGCAATTTAGGTACCAACTTTCAACCGAGTAGGCCTGTTCAAATGGATATGTTTGGACGTACTCACGACCCTATCGGGTACATTGCACCAGAAAGGTAGTAATTTAAATTTTCGATACTTAAATTGAATATTTATTTTATTGAACTTATATTTTTCAGAGCTCAGGCTGGTTTTAATCTTCCTGTGCCGGTTGGTATGTTTATGAATATGGCCCATATACCTCCCAGATTTTATAATCAGCATCAACAAGCTGTACAAGCTAGGCAACAACAACAAAATCCTAGGGGACAAAATAGAAGAGTTCCACAGAGACAGAAAGGTAATAGGATATCAATATTATTTCTAGTTACTATACACATAATTATTTATTTTTTACATGATAATATATATTTTTGTGATAATTATTTAACTGTAACAATGAAAATGCTACAGGCTTCAGAGATATATGTATATCTACTTAAGTACAACAATTATCTTTCAGAAATAATGTAGTATGGTACAAATGAACTACTACATAGTTTCTTAAAATCTCTAATCTGCAATCAATATCTAGGTCTATTGTTAAGTTTTTCGTCGGTTCGGTGTGGATAGAAAGTCACAATTTATTTAAACACAATTTATTTAACACTAATTAACAAAAACAATAACGATAAAAGACTTAGAGAACTATTTACAAACGATTTATAAATATTTATCTAGAAAGAATTTATTTTGAATTTTAGCGCGTTAACTGTACTCGTCTATTTATGTCTGCCCTCTTTAGGCCCCAGCCGCCGCCTTTTATACCCACAGCTAAAGATTTCTAGAATAGTCCATAGATCGTTAGGTGCATAGAGAAGGTTTCGATTATTCTCGTATTCCAGTGAAACTCGATTTTTCTCGAATGTCTGAATGAATCATTACGGTGTCTATTCTTTAATGCGATGTTAAGGTCATCAGAGGGCGGGACATATAGTTAGGTTAGGTCGAGCCCACACGGGTCCGCAACATTATTAAGTTTTTTTCATTTTACGAAATTTAAAAACATTTTTTATCTAATATAGGATTTCTCAATATACGTACGTATATTATACGTACGTTTACCTACGTAACGTACGTATAATACTACGTATATGTACGTAACGTACGTATATATAACTACGTAACGTTATACGTACATTTAAAATTATAAGCTACAGAAAGTTCACTCTAGCCATGAAAGTCCTACAGCGATATATAAACTAACAAGTTAAAGTATTTTTCAGAAATATTGTACTGTGGTATAAATGACCTACTACATAAAAATCTTTCATTTGCTAACAATATCTAGGTCTATTATTTTTTAATATTTTATGATACCTATTTAAGGGTTTTTTAGATTTTCTTGCAGTGGCGAAATAGAACATAAATAAAACAAAATATTTTATTAATAATAACACTTACTGAATTTTATACCTTAAAAGTTGGTTAATTAACTTTAATCTTAATTTTTTAAATCATTACCTTTTGACTTTTAAATCATTTACCTATCGTGCGATGTTATTTCACAGATACTCCAGTATTTGGTACCATATACGAAATGGTATATAGTAAACGCCACGAATGTTTGGGAGTGATTCATCGGTCGCTATCATGTGAACTAATCTGTTCAAGGTCGCATAAAACTTAATTACAGTGCCGTTGTGTTTCAAGTCATATAATAATCAATATATAATCTGTTGTAATTCGTTGTTTTAACTGTCAAAGTCTTGTCAAAACATATATTTGGTTAGAAATATAAAATGAAATGCCCCATTAGTCGCATTGCAAGCACACCAATGGACTGACGCACAAAAACGAATCAATCAAAGAAACGCGATATAGTATCATCTTTGTCAATCACGCTAACATTTTAGAATAAGTAGGAGGAGGGCAGGCAGATGATTAGACCGGGGCTTTAAAAACCTACGTCTGCGGTAAAAATTTACGTTTTTAATGTAAAAATGATAGCGCGCGTATCGATTCCAACTTCATCAAGCGATGATTCACTCCCAAACATTCGTGGCGTTTACTATACAAACTTTATTCGTGGCTAATACAACTATCTGGTAAACTGTGTCTCTGGGCACCGAATATTAACTGTAAACTATGGTCTGGATCAACACTTAATTTTTTTTACTTTACTTAATTTTCCCCCGAGTTTTCCTCCACTTAATTTTAAAAACACGAAACACGTAATAACACTATTATTAATAATCATAATTTATCATTTCTATTTGACATAATTTGACACAAAATTATAACCTATAATTTGGCAAGAGTTTGACAACTCTCAAAAATCTTAAGTCGAGTATGTATAGTCTGTCCAACGAGAAGATCCTTGACAGTGATAGATGTGTCTGTCATTTTAATTTCAAAGTAGTTTATTTTATTTTACAAAGAAATAAGTTGGTACAACTGGAACGCATAGCAGGAAATTAATATATGTATTTAAAATTTGACTGACAAGTAACTTCAAAATATTGTGAAAAAAACTGTATAAAACTAAAAAAATGTAATCGAGTTATTTTATTTAATAAAAAACGGTATGTGTTAATACAAAACAAACAAAAACAAAACACCACATACCAAAAAAATATAAAAAAGAACTATTTCTTACTTTCAAGCTTTATGAAACTTCCCGCATTTATGATTATATTTATCAATATAACTTATGTACAAATACAAATTTGTAATATTCCGCAGGAATAAATAAAAAAACATAAATAAAACAAACTATTTTATTAATAATAACACTTACCAGATTTTATACCTCACAGGTTGATTAATTAACTTTAATCTTAATTTTTTAAACCAGTACCTTTTGACATTATTTTTCTGCAGTACTAAAATCCATTATTTACCTATCGTGCGATGTCGATATTTTACAGCTGCTCCAGTTTTTAGTATGTGTTTAGAGTATGGTCCTTCTACCATATTCGAGATGCACTTATCTACGACGAGATGGTATACGAACTTTATTGATAGTAACTTTATTGGTGTATCTGTATAAGACTTTCTGCCTGGGCAGCGAGTATTAACCATAAACTGTGCTCTGGGTTCTACAGTTAATTTTCACTCGATTTTTCCTCCACTTGACTTCAAAAGACACAAAACACACGTAATAACACGAATCAAAATGCATCATCTTCCAAAACACAGGGTATTTGACAAAAGTTGTCACAAAATTATAACCTATAATTTGGCAAGACTTTGACAAACGTCAAAAATCTAAAGGCGAGTTCATACGCATCGGCGTCCGTTTGTCATTCATCGTTCCGTCATTTTCATTTTTGAAATAAACCAATAAAACTGGTTAAAAACAACAAGTGACGACGCATGACGAATTTATATTTAAACCCATCCATAGTTAACTTAAAAATTATTAGAAACTTTTTTTAGTAAAATAAATAGATTGGTATGGGACGTCATCTGCTTTTCTTCTGTCAACGTCTGTCAAAATCTTACCTGAGAAAAAAAACAGAGTATACTCGACTTAAGATGGGTATGTACCCATCGGCGTCCGTTTGTCGTTCATTGTACCGTCAAACCAATAATATTAAAATATGATTTGTAATTTTTGAAATAAACCAATAAAACTGGCTAAAAACAACAAGAGACGACGCATGACGGATTTATATATAAATCCGTCCATAGATAACTTAAAAAACTTTTTTAGTGAAATAATAAATGTATTGGTATGGACGTCATCTGCTCTTTTTCTATCATCGTCTGTTATTGTTTTAGGCAAAAATCTTAGTCAGGATCAGACACAACCTTTCAGCCAGAGTCTCCAACTTACTCAAGGCGGAATGTCCCAACCTGGACTGTCCCAGCCTGGATTTAGTTTATCTCAACCTGGTCTATCTCAAGCGGAACTGAGTCAGGATCTGTACATGGCCGAATATCAAAGCCAGATGGACGGGCTGTTGTCACAGGATTCAACTTATCAGGGAGATAGGTAAGATACTTATAGCAGGGATGGCGAACATGTTTGAGACATGTCTCATGGAGACAGTTTGAGACATGGGGTTTTGTTTATATTTTTTTAGTACTAGTTTGGGAGTCACGAATGCCCATCTGCACCATCAAGTTAAGTTTAAACATTTTTAACTGAGTATTTTTAAAACTAAACCTCTTTAAAATTTATCTTGTGAAACTGGGCGAACTTTTTATTCTCCTCTACTTCTTTAACTAGTGAAACTTTTATCCGCTCATAGTATATGCCTATTTAATTTTTTGCTTATGTAACGAGTACTTTTACACACTTGTTTCGTCGAACTACTTGAATCCATTTTTGCTTTTAATGTCGTTTTAGGTCTCAAACTAAATCGGTGTGAGAAGCTGTGAAGTTATGAATTGTTATTTCGGGAGAGTTGAATATCTGGGAAAGTTAAGTTATTGAATGTTATTGCACCCAATAACGCCCTCCTTTACGCTTTAACGTGTTTTCGGCAATTTAATAACGTTTGAAATTGTCAGAACACAACACGACGCTTAGTTTGGGTTCTTTTTCACTTAATTTTTACTACCCGAAACAGCGTTACATCACAAATCTCGTACCTGAGTATTTTATAGTTTCAGTAACTGCACTGGTAAAAAAGCATATACTTAAATATTATGACAAAGCCATGATTTTAATATTATTTCAATGCGATCGACATAAACGGTAATGGGAATTCGTGAAATACTTTATACCCGGCACTTCTAATTTCTGCCGTATCGAGCGCTGCGGTCGGAATTTTAAAAATAACCTGAATACAACAAGCTTATTAGTACGAGAGCTAGTAACGTCGGAAGAACAAGTATTTTAAGACGTTTGGCTCTTTGATATATCTTTTACTATGCTCTCTAGAAAAGCATGCGGCCCGTCTGGCTGCCGGTAAACGTTGCGTTCCCTACTGCGCATTGAAAAAAGATCCTATATTTTTTATTAATTTAGTCCTATAAATTCTAGTATTAAATATTAATCGAACATGTCTCCATAGCGCAGTGCGTAGAGTTTCTGACCACGAACCGATGATTCAAAGTTCGAATCCGGTTCAGGGCAAATACTTTTTTATTTTATTTTCGTTTATATTCTGATAGTAAAGTATTAAATATTTGTTTTTTTTTAATTATCAGTATTATTTAATACTTTACTATCAGAATATAAACGACAATAAAATAAAAAGTATTTGACCTGACCCAGATTTGAACTCTGAATCATCGGTTCGTGGTCGGAAACTCTACGCACTGCGCTAAGGAGACATGTTTGATTTATATTCAATGCTAGAATTTATAGAACTAAATTAATAAAAAATATAGGATCTTCTCCCAATGCGCAGTAGTGATCGCAACGTTTACCGGCAGCCAGACGCATGCTGTTCCAGAGAGCTTAGTAAAAGATATATCAAAGAGCCAGACGTCTTAAAATACTTTCTCGAAAACGTTGCTAGCTCTTAGACTATATAGACAGCATTTAAATTGCTTTCGTGTCAATGCCAGTGATTGAAAAAATACAAATAGAATATAAATTTTCCACACAAATTAGAAAATTAAGTAATCCCGTCTAAACAAACAAATGTTTGCCTAGCAACCGTGGGTTATTTAAAAAACTTGCGCGGGTCAGTTTCTGACCCTCTAAGGTCTGACTGACAGGTCATAGGTTCGCCATCACTGATATATAGTCTATACAAAGAAAGAATATAAAACATGAGCGACAGTTTTATTATTATTTTAATTAAACATAACAATAATAATAATAATAAACCATTTATTGTAATTTCTTTAGTACAACTTTTAGATACATTTGTCTAGTTTTATACATAAGAAACAAAACAGAAATCACAAAAGGGCTGAAATGGTAGTAAATACTGATTGTATTGAATTTATATTTTTATAATTTTTGAATGTTGTTTTTTGAAATTTGAGTTGTATTTTGAAATTGTCGTCTTTTGAAATTATACTACTATTTTGTGTAAATAATAATTTAATGATTTATGCTTAAATGTTTTATTATATAAAATAATTCTAAATTGTAGCTCTAACAGTTCTTAGTCAACAAAAATAAAACTTTCAATTTCTAAAAATCTAACCATTCAACTCTAATCCGCTGTGACAAATGCGTGAGTAACTCTACTTGATTATTTTGTGTTCCAGGTCTGCTTTTTACCAACCTAGCGCCCAATTCTCCCAGCCATATTGATACGTCACGCCATAGACCAGTTACAGAAACGCGGAAGCGACAAAAGACGTTGAAAGGTAAAGCAAATCAAAATAAAATCGAAAGTGAAGAAACGACCAAATTGTCAGTTAACATCCAGAATAAAAATAAAACAAGACGAGAAAACAACGCGCATAACTCGAAAATATTTAAAAAAATATATAAAAAAACATATAAGAGAAAAATAAAACGATTATAACGTCCACACAGAAGGGGAGTATTGAATAACTCGAAACAAGTAAGGCAGACGAACTCGACGTGATTGTTTTCTTAGATGGTTCATTTGAACTACGAAGATCTATAAAGATATACGACTTTACTTAACGTAAAATATATTAATTCAATTGACTCTTAAAAAAACACCTTAAGTAAAATATATAATAAAAAACGATATGGGTTTTACGTGTCAATCGTATTATCCTAAATCAACATTACAGTTTTTCTGTACCTTCTAGTTATTTTTAATTAGTCTTTTTTTTTTGGTTATTAGGGAATAGTGGTACTCTTTTAATTTGACGACTGACCTATGTCTACATTTATTTAGAAAATTTTACATTTTTTTTTGTTTACTCATTTAAAAAAACACACTTTGGGTTATTGGTTGTTAAATCAGGAAGAGTACTATTGGTATGTATAAGTGGATATAATATATTTGGTTTCATTTGGTTTCCGATATTCAGATAGCGATAAAAATGATTGGTTACCAGAGAGTCTCTTAACTATAAATTATAAACTTTATAATAAAAAATACATTTCGTCTTTGGTAATATACTGAGATTTTTATAGCTATCTGGTATAAAGGAATGAAATAAAATTTAAAATATTATCAGTACGCCCATCATTAGGTTAGAATTATTATTTTATATCATATAAATTAAAAGAGCAGGCAACCCTAATATCTATTTCTCCATATAATAATTCATTCTTTTTTCGAGCGTAGTTAGATATTTCCTCTTAAAATTCATTAACAGTTATTATTTGTCATGTTTTGAGTGTCTTAGATTACTCCAAATATTATAAGTTTTAGTTTATGGGGGAATAAACTGATAAAAGAAGATATTATGTCGTTTCATTTAATTTTATTATGGTTATGGATAAAACAGAATTGTTAACTTGTTGGCATTTGTTAATATTACAGCAGTTACTCTAATGTTAACTAAACTGCACCTTATACTCTAGTAGTTTAAAAATTTACATTTACCGGAAATTTAAGCAATTGATTAATTTTTTAAACATGCAGTACGTTAGATTCATAAAAAATGTATATTTTGTGAATTTTAAACTAATAATAAGAACATAAAAAGCAAGACGAGGAAAAAACACACGTAACGCGGTAATATTTAAAAAAAAATAAAAACCAACATACAGGGCCGGCAAGGTTTGCCTTTGGATGCCGATTTTCACTCACTACAGTAAAATGTACTGAATAAAGAAAAAATAGCAATTATTTTCCGACGTCAGACTCGTGAGCAGTGACCCATTTGATTCCAAATTCGCGTTCAGCGACCCAAGAATCTCCCATAATATACTGATTTTGTTCGGATCCATGTTTTTTTTTTAAATTCGCATCGGCCATATTTGATCTGCCATTTTGAATTTTGCGAATCCGACGTTGGACTCGTGAGCAATGACCCATTTGATTCCAAATTCGCGTTCAGCGACTCAAATAACTCCCATACACAAACTTTTATCCAAGTCCGTGCAATTTTTGGAATTCGTATCGGCCATATTGGATCTGCTATTTTGAATTCTGCCAATCCGACGTCAGATTCATGAGTGACCAAAAAAAAACCTATACCGATTTTGGTTAAGATCTGTGCTATTTTCGAAAATCATGACTTGTTCCAAGCTTATTAAAAGATAAGGTTATCTCGTAACTCGATCCGCCATTGGAAACGTCATCAACTACGTCACAGTTATGCGGCCGATCATAGATAAGGGCATAAAAACTGCCGATAGTCGGACAGTGCACTTCCGAATCGATATTCATTGGCTTCCATAGTTTTCAGCTGTTTGATGTTTCTTTTTTTTTATAACATTGCCCATTTATCTCTCTTTGTCCGTTGCATTTTATTTTTTATGACTGATTTTATACGTTCTGTAGCATACCTGTGACGTAGTTGCCGCTTCGCCCCTATTGGTCTAAAAGTTACGAGGGAATCTGTTTAATATAGTAACCTTACAGCGCTTTCAGATGGAGCGGACCGTCCGCGCCTTCGAGCAAGTACCATGAGTTTATATGAACAATTTCACATGGTCGCGTATGCTCCGTCCGACGAGAAGTGTCTAGCCCCAGCAGGCAACTATTAAGCTTGAACAATCAGGTTGGTTAGCTTGGTTATTTGGAGGGTGTTAATTCATTTGTGTTTGGGTCAAAAACTCTAACGTGATTGGTCGGACTTAATAGTTGCCTGCTGGGGTTAGACACAAGTCGTCCGACGGCTGTCCGACGGTCCGTCGCGGATGCTCCGTTCCATCTGAAAGCGCTGTTAGACTTGTGGTAGGGTTTTTGAGGTTAGAAAAAAATACGAGACATGTTAGCTCAATTCTGATAGGGTGTTTTTTGAGTTTATCAGGCTCATTTACATTAGGTTATAGTGTTATACGTGAGAAATATTTTTTTTATTTTTTCTTACTACATTTTCCTGAATTTTCACGGATTTTCACCAAGTTTTTGAGGTTAGAAAAAAATGAGACGTGATGGCGTAATTCTGATAGCGGATTCGTGCTCAGCGTCGAAAAATACTGTAGGATATGATGATCTGGTAAAAAGCACAGACCACTTTTTTTGTGGTGTTGTGTTATCAAAAAAATAAGATCCTATTTGTAACTGCATTAGAACTATAGGTACATTAAATTCGTTCGTCACTGTATATAATGAACTAACTTTCTAGAGAAACGTTAGATCATAAAACAGTTATGTGAAAAGCATCCCTTATTTTTCTTCGCACGTATATTTTGTTCAATCTAGGATGGCACAGTGTTGAAGGATATCGTGTTTAAACCACGGATTCTAAAAAAATTATGCTATACTACAATATATTTTCAATTAAATAATTCTACCCAACTTCCAAACAAAACTTTATTGATTTATTATATTTAGAAAAAATATAAACCAACTTTTGATATGTACTGTAACATCAAAATATCGAGCTAGTTCATCTAAAATCTAAACAAAATATAAGACATATTTATTTGTGGAGTATTGTGGTTATAAATATATGTGGTTATAAATATATTTTAATTATATATTTAAACTTTTAAATGTCAACATTTAGGCACTACGAATCATTGTCTTGATATAGGTTCATAAATATACAAAAAAATACAGCTTATATATCTATCTAAAAATAATATAAACAAAGATATTTTTTAGTTGGAAGGATTTAAAGCTTACACTAACGTTTTTTTAATAATTAATTATACAAATAATTTATTAGTTATAGCGTAAAAAGCTGAATAAACATAAATAATAAAAAGTAAAATTATATCACAAAGATGTAAGGACAAACGTAAAATAAAATGATAATACTTTTAAATATGTTTAGTATTGACTAAGGCACACTAGAATTCAGTTGATGTGCGGTTTTGAGGCAGTGTAAGAAAGTAAAAGATTACTATCCTAATTTTCGATATGGCCTCTAGAGAACTATAAAAGATAGAGCTATAGCATATGAGTTTAGGTACTATGGGCTGGCAAAGGTTAGTCTTGGGTCGATATTTCCGTATGTAAGAAGAGCACAATGCGTTTATAATGTACTGAACAAAGAGAGAACAGTAAATACGTTGCCAAACGTATGAAATAAATCGAGAAACTGTGCACATTCCTAAGAGACGTAGAAGGGGATATAGCAGATTCGTCGCAGTCGACCGGTCGTCCCAATCAGTACCATATCAGTACTTATCATTCTAGGGAAGAGTGTACATCATGCGTTGAGCTTCACGATTTAATTACGTCTCGTTATACTTTATGTTTATTATTAACGAGTCGTTGTAATTTTCCCTATAGCTTGTAAATTTTTGAGTGCAAGTTAGAAACGCTTGCACTTTTGGAATTGAGTTGGTGTTCGACAGTGGTCGCGCTATTAGAACTCTGAATTCAAAAATCGATATCTCGAAATCCATTAAAAATAATTGATTGTAGATTTTTTCAAAAACATTCTTAATATTTCTGCTATATTTTCTTCGCAGACAGTATGTGAAAATCTTCATAAATAAAAATGTTACACGCTTGCAGAAAATTGCAATGCACTAAAAGTAAATGGATGATTTTTTAATTTTGAACGGGAAAAAACAACCTATCGAATCTTTCTTATTTAAATATCTTGTAAAAGATCCGAACTTCAAAATAAAGTTATCGCGTGTTATCTAGTTCATCTAGTTATCTTTTCGAAAATAAAAGTCTTTTAAAAATAAGCCGTTTACGATCGTGATTTTACTTTACTTGATAGAGAAAGGCGTACCGGAGAAATGGGGCAACGCCGCAACAGCACACCGTTGCATTTCTCTCTGCAATACCGACCCAAAAGTAAGAGTTGCCAGCACGGTATATGTGATTAAATAGGGGGTAAAAACGCATGTATTCAACTTTGCTCCAGAGATGTTCTTATTGTATATGACAGAAAATTTTTTGTCAAATATTCAAATTAGGAGAAAAATAAACATAAATATTTTGTAAACCATGACATGAATGGCTAGTGAATTTTAAAACGTGTTGTTTGTTAGGAAAATATCTTTGATCACAACTAGTGGATAATATCTTTTATCACTAACTAGTGGAATTTCGTAAACAACTGAAGGTAATAAATTAGATGAAAGTTGCCAGCCTATTTAATTACATATGTTTCAGCTCATATGATAACTTTTTTAACGGACATATATATAACTTATTCTATAATATTCGCATCTGATTTTTCAAATTAAGTAACAAAAGTTCGATTTTTTAAGATAATATGGATTTTATCTAATTCTTATAGATAATGAAATTGTTCCTGGTGCTTGGTTAACCAATCCTCCACCTGTTGATAGTTCTTACTCATCCAATCTACGTTTGCTTTGACTGTTTTGATAGCGATATCGAATGATTGGGTAGCTGTACTGATGTTGGCTTTTATACTTTCCCTGAATCTTATTAGCTGTAACAAATGCTTTGATAAGTAGAGAAGTTTTATTGTCGTGGAGCGTCTTACCTCATCCAGTTGAAATTCTGTTGTCATATGGGATGCTAGAGAATTAATCATTTTTCCTAAGATATTGAATCCATCCCCGTAACTGAAACAAAATTGTTTTTACAATGTAACGATGGATGATATTGTATTTGGTATTCAAGTATTGTTTAGACATTTTGGGTATAATGTAAGATAGTTACTATGGTCTGTCCAACAAGAGGATCCATGGCAGTGACAGTTGTGTCTATAATTTTAATTCACAGGAAAATTGTATCTTCGGTTATTTTTTGGATGTTGATTTTTGAAATCTTCCCTAACTCGTTGGACAGACGTTATATGTAAATACGAACGGGGTAACCCGAAAATATTTTAAGTTCCCCACGTACACGGCCAACATACATTCAAAAAAATTAGTATAATTTAATCACGCGTCTCTTAAAAACTTAAAACACGAAGCAATCAAGGTCAAACGTTGTGGTGGCTTCAGAAAAATAAGTAAACATGGAGTATGAATAAATATCAACGAAATATCATCGTAACAACAGCTATTTTAGAAACGTCTAGGTTTACTTATTTCACTCAGATTTATGAAAAAAAATCCTTTGCCTCGGGTACAGATACCGCCCCGCCACGTTTTGGAAGTAGCTTAAAACGAAACAAAATTGAACGAGGCAACAGGAAACATCAAAAAATTCCCCCACACCGTCCTCACTAGTAGTTTTCAGGCGCTTTTAAGAATCGAAAGTAGGTCGAGGCAAGCCGAAGTGGCTCAAGACAACTGGAAATAAACCGAAATGCGACAAAGTTGGGCGACGAAACGCGACCTTGACGTGCTTCGAAGAGTTCTCCGCATAATGTAGAGGCTGTTTAAAGTTTATAATGAAAATGGAGAACATTGAATATCAAACTATCGAAGAGTCTATATCTAATATTTTATGAAATGGCGTTCGCAGGTTTTGGACCAGGAATTAAACAACCTTTTTTTTAAATTGCCGACATTTCGACGTGCATTTTCGTTTTTATCAAGGAAAAAAAAGGTTGTTTAATTCTTGGTCCTAAATCTTCGAACGTCATTTCATCTGTACAAATCTATCACGAATATTTTATTTTTAAAAGGCAAAATACCTATGCAAATCAAAGATGAGTTGAACGCCATGTAAGGGACTAAATTTTGGGCAATTTAAACATGGTCATACCAACTTGGTTAATGTACTTGAAGTAATGGTAATCGATTGTCTTCAGAAAGGGAACACCATCACAGGAGAATTATATTACGCATATTAAGTAACAAACGGAAGGTAGGAATATAGTAAAAACAGCCACATCTGCAGATGAAGATTCTCACACCTCTATCGCTGAAAATTTACGTGCTGGAGTTCGAACTGCTAGACCCTCTATATTATTCTCTCCAGATTTATTTACCAGGATACCTATTCTTGAGATCCTGGGTAACTTTGTGTATACGCATTACATGTATTGTTATATGGCTTTCTCGAAGATGCCAGTGGTCAAGGATAGGTTCCCAGGCACGTCATTACGGAATTCATCATCAATGGCAGATTGGACTATATCATAGTCATGTCTCATGTCCATATCTAGTCGAGAATGGGGCCAGGTTTCGATTCTCAGCAAATACATGCTGGATTTGGTGGTTTTAGTGACATATCTCTCTCAGATATCAGCTACAGGGCCAGTGGCGGATACAGAGGGGATCACAACCCCCTAAAATCTGTAAGTTTGGTTAAATATTAGCCTTTTGGGTTAAAAATGACGCACTAGAAGGCATATTTTACATTATTTTTTATTTGCCCCCCCCCCTAAAATAAATTCCTGTATCCGCCCCTGTACAGGGCATAAATGTATAAATGAAGTTGGGTATTGAAATGTAATTTATGAAGCTGAGCCACAACTCTTCTCTAACAGTATATGGTATGCTGACCGGATATGTATAGTAAAATGCAATATAATATAGTATGGTTGGCCAATTCTATACCTCTAATAGAACTTGGCGGTCGCAGTGAAGTAGTTTTTGTAGTTGAAATAATACAATATAAATATGGCATCAATTTAACTAATTTTCAGGCTGAAAACATAGTTAATCAGCAATATTCCTAAAATATTATGGACTGTAAAATGTTAGAGCGATAAATAACTACTGTCAAACGACATTAGGCTAATAATATAATTTTATTGACTGTTCAACATTATACCATTGTTAGTATGTGAGTTTTTTTGACTTACTGATTCAGCAACTCGTTCCAATTCTTTCGTATAAAGTCGAATGCGATCAACATTCCTTCTTTATTATTGGCAACAGACTCGAACACCCTATCCGCGTCCTGGATCCTGATACTATAACCATCAATTAGTTTATCCAAATATCTGCAAATAATTCCAAAATTACAGGCTAAGCCCTAAGTAGAAAATAAGCTCTACCTCTACATTTTCCTAGATGATTAAAACAAAAATGACCATGCGGAAAAACGATACGTATACAACCGGTATGCTACGCCATCTGATAGCATTTCTTTATAAACTATCTCAGGGCATCTAATTTAAATATTATAATTGATAAGTTTTTGTTACAACGTTTGTGATAAATTATGAAATTGATTTCGATGTTTCATATTACAAACTTGAATTGTACTAATGGTCACTTGTAAAAACTAATACATAAGTAACGTAAAAAACGAAATTTTGGTATGTTAGAATATAACATAAATTAGGATTGATTGACGTATTCAACTGTTCTTTGGTTCACTTCCTGTTTCTACTAAAAAATTCCACTTGTTTCTATGTGACATCACAAAGTACGCTAGAATACATACCGGTTATATGAGTATCGTAATGGTTGATTTATCTATGTGTTATCCATAGATAAAGGAGTAGTGTGATCTATGTCAGTATATCGATTACCTACATAGGTTTCTGAACTTTGTTAAATGTTATGCGTTAAACACGAACATATGTCTAATAACCTGTAAAATTGGAATCGGAAATAATTACAAACAAATAAATATATGTTAGATTTAGATTAAAGTTAGTATAGTATCATAAATAAAAAGTTATAAACCTCAAGAATTGATGGTTTATCGTTCTTTTTGTTATCTAAGAAACTAAAAATTAAGAAGGCCATGAAAATGACGACTATATAAGCAAATTTTTTAAACCAACGTGACAAAACCGGAATAATATACAAGTTATTGGATTTTACATTCTGTTTAATAGTTTTCAATAAATAAATAGATATATAAACTCTATTTTGCAGCATTTTTTATTACAAAAATAATTGAAAATATAAAATATAGTCTGGATCTGGTAAGGGAAACTCAGTTTTTTAAAAATATAACAGATTTTATTCTTAAATATCCGGAAGCATGTGTTTTGTGAAAATAGATCAGGAATTTCTATAATATTTTCCAGTAAACTTTATAGGCTTGCTGCATTCCGCCAGTGCTGCCACCATCGGAGAATATCGTAAACAACTGACATATACAAATACACGGGTTTAAACTGTGAGTATACGAAAAATTTATTTTATAATTATAATTATTCTAAGTGTTAGGAAGTATAATTTGTGAAAATTCTAATTCTAAAAATAAAAAAGTAAATATATTGATATCTTCAGAAGGTCTAACTTGTATTATAATTTATAATTCCAGCTATAAAAACTTTTTAGATACTACGGTAGTGAGCATAGTTTTACGCACCGGTTTTGCTAGTGGGTTCATAACTGGGGCTATTTCGGCTATAACGAATTTTTTTAAAGTACATACGTAATTATAATTTTAGAAGATGTTCATAAAACATTTTAATCACTAGCTATTATTAAAAAAGTATACCATTAATATTGCAAGTTAAGGTGCGTTCACACCGGTTCACAGTAGAACGATCGTATGTTTGATACTGGACATAACACTTAAAATCGTATTTAAACTTTTAATATAAATTTCTTCAAATACGTATTTAGAAGGCCATAATTTAATCAACTAAAATCGAATTTTATTGAAAAATTCACCCAAAGCTATATATTATGTTATAGAATATATGCGTTTCTTGTTAAAGATATTTAATATGTGGGAAGTTTATAGAGCAAATTATGGATCAAATAAATGACTTAATTCATGTGCCCCATACAAAAGTTTTAGCCGATATTTTAACGAATAACTTAAAAGAAATTTTGAAACCCCACTTGGGTGTTTATTTAACTCTATTCTCGGTGAAAATATACATTTTCAGCGAAATTTATTATAGTTTGCATCTTTCTTTTGTAATTATCAAAAAGTCCCACCGAGTCCCGATTATTTGTTGGTGGGTATGACTTCTCTATTTTATGCTAAACTTATGAATACAACGTTTTATTGCAGGCGCTTGCAGCAAAGATGGCTATGGAAAATTTTGTTTAAAATTTAATTTTTTGTGATACACTATACAATAATTAAGGAATAATTATTGTAATTGAATACATGTTGGTATTAAAGAACTGGACAAATCGCAAGGTCATAATTCATATAGAATAAAAATATGATAAAAAGTTCATTAAGTTTTGGAATAAGTATGAAATTATTAAGTTTAATTTGTAATAGTCAATTTAATACGGAAATTCAATTAAAATATATATTCTGGAAAAACACCCCTGCACTATTCAGTAAGTTATCTATAATAAAGTTATGACTATTTTTAACATATTTGAAGATTTTAGAACACATTTATTCAAAAAAACGTCTTAATTTAGAAATTTTGCATAATTGCCGAATGTCCAGCAAAATGCATTGCGTCGATCCACTGTGCGGCTGCGCCGCGCCGCGCAAGACAGTTTTTTAACATGTACTTTTGAAGTGTATTTTTTTAGCGCGCACAAAAGTATATGTTAAAAAAATTATATGCGCGGCGCGGAGCAGCCCAGCTGGTGTGAACGCACCTTTATGTTTCTCTCATAGTATAATATGTCTATTTACTTTGTTAACTCACTTATTTCGTCGAACTGCTTGAATCCATTTTTGCTTTTGATCAAATCGGCGCGGCGTGAGAAACTATGAAGCTATAAATTGTTGTTTCGGGAGAGTTGAATATCCGGGAAAGTTGAGTTATTGAATGTTATTGTACCCAGCAATGCCCTAATTACGCCCTCCTTTACGCGTTAACATTTTTCATCAATTTTATTAACATTTGAAATTGTGATACTGCACATTCTAGTAAAAAAATAAACTAATTAAATATTTAATTCAATAATTAATTAATTAATGGGACTGCGTGAAATACTTTATACCCGGCACTTCCAATTTCTGCCGTTAGAGCGCTGTGGTCGAAATTTTTAAAATGAACTGAAATGCACCAAGCCTACGAAGTTGTTATGTTAATAGCCTTCTTAATATTTCTTAAATTTTATTACAAGTTATAGTAAGTAAACACTAAATTCTTTCAATATATTCATATTATTTAAAGCTAAAATATGCAAGACAGACAAGTTAAGATTGAAAGATGAGCATGCAATTACTTGTATTACTAGGACTTTAGTTCTAACTGTGTGTATTTTACCTTGACAGTAACCACTTTAATTTAGTACAACCAAGTGCATCCAGGAGGACATTCTTCTCTGACGGTGAGGTACTTTCCAGATATTTTTCGTAAGCAAAATTCCATTCTAGCTCTGAACCTTCCCTTATCGCTGTACAATATATAATGGAACGGAGGTTTGGCACAATTCTACAATATTTTAATAAAATAGGTATATTATGTATATAACTGTTATCTGTCGTATAAGAACGAAAATATAAGCATAACAGATTTTGTCGATACTATATACAAAACAAATTAAAGTCAACATACGACCCTGTATATTGTGTAATAGGTACAGGGTATATCAAATTTGGCGACTTGGTGAAGTTAGTTGATTGAACTCAGGAGGGACTCTTTTAAGTGTGTTTTTTGGATATAGTCAGCTTCGGAGTTGTTTTTAAATAGCGAATGTGACGTCATTAAATTTATTTTCTTGTAACCATGTCAAAGTTCATCATAATCAGAAAGAACATTTTTAAGTAATTTTTATGTACAACAATTTTCTTTCTGTAGAAAGCAGTAGTTTGTAGTTACTAAGCTCAGTTGGCATAAAAATAAGTTTAGTTGCCAAAAGAGTGAAGGCAAGATTCTTCACCTTGTAGTTACTCAATAGCTAGAGGGAGGTTTTTTATATAATATGTTTATTTTCTACCGGGTAATGCATCGTCTTTGGAAACATAGGACATCGCATGCAACTTTTGAACTGTCCAGATATTGCTTCCCTGTTAATTTTACAGCTACTTACAACTTTGTAAATAGATTTTTTAATGGTTTTTATGCTGAATACACATGCCAAATTTGAACAATTTTGGACAAGCCGATTTTAAATATTTTGCATCTATTTTTAAATTAAAACTGAACAGGTCACAATGCAAAACCAGGCAAATGCCAACGTACCTTAATGTCATCCTATAATATGCCTATAATTTTGTCAATGTCAAATTGCATTTTGTAAACGTTAGGCTTTTCCCTCATTTGAACCAGTTTTAAATTATAAAAATACATTTCGAGGACACTAAGCATAGGTACTATAACGTAGTAGTCAAGTAGTAGTGTAGACATGGTGTAGACAGCACAACAAATTCCATTTGACAATCATAAAATCATAGGTTGACAACTTAAGGTATGTTGACTTTGACTGATTTTGCATTGTTGCCTGTTCAGTTTTAATTTAAAAATAGATACAGTTTTTCTTAAATTACTTAAAATCGGCTTGTCCAAAATTGGCATGTGTATTCAGCATATAGGCAGATCTTTAAAACCCCTATTTACGACTTATTAGCTGTAAAATTAATAGGGTAGCCAATATTTGGACAGTTTTTGCATGGGATTTCCTATGTTTCCAACGACGATGCCACCACCCGGTATAATATAATATAGTTCCGCTGACGTCACATTCATTGGTATTAAAATACTCTGAAGATGATTAGGAATTTCTAAAAAGTCTGTCCTCAAGACGCCAATTTTCATTCACCCTGTATATAAAGGAGAAACTACTGGAAGGCTAAAAGAGAGTTCCTTCTAATACTATTAAAAATAAAAGAAGGAAGTTGAAATATGCAAAATAAAAACTAAAAATATATTTTGTGTTTTATTTTTTCCAGTTTAACACCCAGGAATAATAATAGTACCAGAGCTAGCAACTTCAGAAAAACAAGTATTTTAAGACGTCTGGCTCTTTGATATATCTTTTACTATGCTCTCTAGAACAGCATGCGGCCTAAGATCCTAAGATCCTATATTTTTATTAGTCCTGTAAATTCTAGTATTTAATATAAATCGAACATGTCTCCATAGCGCAGTGCGTAGAGTTTCCGACCACGAACCGACGATTTTTTTATTTTATTTTCGTTTATATTCTGATAGTAAAGTATTAAATAATTCTGGTGATTAAAAAAAACAAATATTTAATACTTTACTATAAGAGTATAAACGAAAATAAAATAAAAAAGTCTTTGCCCTGACCCGGATTCGAACTCTGAATCATCGGTTCGTGGTCGGAAACTCTACGCACTGCGCTATGGAGAAATGCTCGATTTATATTCAATACTAGAATTTATAGGACTAAATTAATAAAAAATATAGGATCTTCTTCCGATGCGCAGTAACGAACACAACGGCTATCGGCAGCCATGCAGTTCCAGAGAGCATAGTAAAAGATATATCAAAGAGCCAAACGTCTTAAAATACTTTCTCGAAAACGTTGCTAGCTCTTAGACTATAAAATTATTTTTAAAATATTATTATTTACACAAACATATAAATTTGTTTGTGCTATTTATTTTATCTTTTTACAATTTCTCTAATAAAATAATATGTTATACGAGCCCTAACAACTATATGTTGGGATAAAGTGATATTATGAAATTATTGCCCTGGTTTTCCAAAATGACTGAAAAATATATGTTTAATTTTTTAAATATAAACATAGCCATATATCCTAAACAACTTGACAATATTTTTATGAATTTGTAAATCAATCCATATTTACAGAAGCAGGTTTTGTTCATAAAAGGACAAATTTGCTGACAACTAAATGTTGGGACAAGTATTTTTAAATAATTAATATCATCCTAGGCGGCTTTGCTATAAACGTCACATATGTCGCAAACTGTTTACTTCAGCATTGACAGCTTGTAAGTGACTCGATACTTTGAGTAGTAAGATTTACTGTAAGAAATTTTAATTTTTTTAATTTTCAATTTTGTTAATTTAATCCAAAGTAATGGTCCGTGGAAAAGCTACAAATCAAAAACTAAGCGAAATTATCATTCGTCAATACAGTACGCGAAAAACAATTCGAAAAATTTCTGATGATTTCTGAAGTATTCCAAAAACCACGGTCTTTAATATAATAAAAAAAAATTTGCCAACGTAGACCTTAAAGGTAAAAGAAAGGTAAAAGTCGGCGAGAAGAAGTACTCTTCGCGAAATAACAGTTAAATGGAATACTGTAACTGGTTTAAATATATCAAGAGAATGTTGCCGAAAATCTATCCACAAATGCGGTCTGGGGTGTTACAAGGTAAACTTTATTTTGTGTGGATAATCAATTAGGTACCTGAAGATTATTGATACAAATTCGTATTTAGGCCAAAGAAAAACCGGTACTGACAGAAATTCAAAAGATAAATCGCTACACTTGGGCAAAATGTAAATTATCGTGGACACAAAATGATTGGAATAAGGTCATATTTAGCGATGAGTCTAAATTTGATGTTTGGGTTGGAGATAATCGAAAACGAATAATACGAAATAAAGCAGAAGCCTTTCATAAAGATTGCTTAAAGAGGGTTGTTAAATTTCCTGAGGAGATTATGGTTTGGGGTTGCATGTCAGCAAGAGGTTTGGGCAAATTAAATTTTATAGATGGCACTGTTAACGCCCAAAAATATCAACATATTCTTGAGACTTCACTTTTGTCTAGTGCTCAAGAATTGTTTCCAAACGAAGACTATATTTTCCAACAAGATGGAGCATCGTGCCGTTCAGCAAGATCAACTAAAAATTGGTTCGGTAATAATAATATAAAAGTTCTGTCCCATTCTTCAAGTAGTCCGGACATCAATGTTGTAGAAACTGTGTGGCATAAAATGAAGCAATATTTCAGAAACCACCCTCAACGAACAATTTTTGATTTGCGGACAAAACTGCAGGAAATTTGGGATAATTTTTCTCCTCAAATGTGCCAATCTTTGGTAAATACAACGCCATTAAGAGTTCAGGCAGTCGTTAAGGCGAAAAGTGATGTAACTCCGTATTAAACAAATTTCTTGTTGTGCTGTCCCAATATATAGTTGTCAGCAAATTTGGCTTGATTTTGTCAAAATAAGCTATTATCAAAAGTGATTTGTTTGCAAAGTTATAAAAATATAGTAAAATTGTCTAGATCATATTGTAATGTTTGAATTTAGAATAATAAACAAAATAAATTGAGTCGTTTTAACAAATTACTATTTTCATTGCAAAACAAGATCTTGTCCCAAAATATAGTTGTTAGGGCTCGTATGATCGAAATAAAAAGGACGTCTTAGTCGCGTTTGAAATGATAATTGTTAATAATTTGGGTCAGACTGAGCCAAGGTTGTCATTTATTAAAATTTTGCGAATAAATTATAAAAAATTATTATTTAAATATCCGTCACGCCAATCATTCATAAGTAAAAAAAGTAAAAAAAAAATAATAAATTTAAGGGTATTAAACATAAAATAAAACACTCGATATGCAAAGCTGTTCCCAAAACAAAACAAAACAAAAAAAAAGACGCAAAACAAAAAGCAGTTTCCTTGCGAACCATTTTTATTAACCAAATCTGGACTTACGTATTCGCAGTCGCATTCCTGTTTCTAGACCTGTATTTAAATATAATTAAAAAAATAACATTAGTTATATAGTAAAAGCTTTAGCGATATGGTTTATCATTTTGCCATGCGCTCTTGCATTCGAAAATGCAGTTACATTTAAAAACCATCAATTTTTCAGAAAATGTATGGATTATTAAATTATCCATCCATATTTAACAAAGTATTTAACTTAGACAAGGCTATAGTCTACCCAGCGAAATACTGTTTGAACCAATGACATATGTCATTGGTATGAACAGTTGTACATTATTTTAATACACACAAAAGTAAATTATGTTTTTTTTGTAATTTTTTGGATGTCATTTATTAAAATCAGTAATTATCTCGCTGGATTAGATTATAAAAAACTAAATATTAAACACTTATTATAATAAATCATTCACATAAATAAAAAAATCACACACATAACCGTAATTTATATAAAATTTAGTATCCAGAAAGATGGTCGTAGTCAAAGGTCGTAGTTTACTTTAAAGCACGATTTACAAATAACCAATGATGCAAAATTCCCATCTTAAAAGTAATATTGGGGTTCGATCCGTTCGATATACGTATTGTTTGCATTGAATTGTTCCACATTATGTCCTCGGATTGCCTTTACAAGAGGAAAAACTTTTTTATTATTGACATTTTGAGAGAAAAGCATTCTTCATAAAAAATTTTGCTTCATAAAAATGGTTACCCCGTTTATACTTTTCCAAATTTCCGTACCGTTTAACAGAAAATTTAAAAAAAGCATGAAAATATGGTTGACTCCAATGACTAAAGAATCCAAGGATAAATAACACCCGAGAGTAAATTGTTACGGTGTCACCAAACAGTGCAGTGGCGCATATTTTTCTTAACTTAGCTGTTTGAAGAGATATTTATAGTTTTTGATAAACGTTTTGCCTACGCCTATGGTGTATACGGTGGTATCATACTAATTAATTACGAAAAAAACGCATTAAAATGTTAAAACTAGTATCGACGTATAGCACACATCAAGTACATAAAATAATTATCGAATTTAATAAGAAAACTAAGAAAACGCTAAAAAGGTGCAGCGGACTGTTTATTTACTTATGAAACGTATCTCCTGGCTCTTTCTTATCGCTGCGGCTTTTACACTTGAAAACTGAACAACTAAAGTTCACTACACACAAACTATTAAAAATCGCTAAAATTGTCGCTGGTGACCAGCTGATGACTCATTCGTTGCCATAAAAAAAATGGCGTCTAATGTCACAAATTCTGCTGCAGCCCGTATATGGGCGTTACATGTCCTTATATTCTTTAGTCATTTGTTGATTCTAAAAAACTACTAAAAATTAAAACGCGTTTCTATGGTAATATAATTTCAATTTCATTCTTTGATAGATGGTTATTATTAATTTTAATTAACGTCAATTTTTTGCTGTTAAAGTATCACATTGTCCAATAACTATTAACTCCCCTTCTTCTTTTTCTTACAGTGCCATACTCTATATAGAGCGTCGGCCACCTCTCACATGTACTTGTGATGTGTATCATCAGTGTTTCACAAGTACACGGGACCTACAGTTTATTGCCGAATCTGAACTGCACTATTTGAGAGGTTGTACAAGGCAAGGTGGTTTGCCATTGCCTTCCTTGAGGTGGCGGCTCGTTGGTCGCTCTATTTAGATAAATAAATATTTTTATTTAAATAAATAAAGCGACCGTACTGGCTGTAATGTAACTCCCTATGGCAACTCCCCTTAGCATTGAATTTAATAAATTTTCTGCCTCTTTAACATTTTAAAACAGCAAAAAATATAATGTTAATTAAAATTCTATCAAATGATAACAATCTGTCAAAGAACGAAATCGGAACTACACACACCGGAAAAATCTAGGGATATCATTTTATTAAAGTTAAAAATAAATGTTTTGAATAAACAACCACATATTTGTAGGCCGATTATTTCTACTTCGATTGAAACGAAGTAGTCACACTAGTTATTTCTAAATTTGGGATATTTGCAGAAGTGTTTGTGCATTTTTTGTCAAATGTATAAAAAGCACCTAGCATCAGTTGTTCGAATTTAACCTGTACTGGCTATGTTTTCATGATAACTGGCCAGAATTCATTCAAATAACTCTGTTTAGTATTAAACGACATTATGGAGCGTAGACATCTTAACAGAGATGAAATGCTAAGGGCCATGGGTATGCTCGAAGCTGGAATGCGCCAAATCGACGTAGCTAGAGCATTAAATACAACGCAAAGTGTAATATCGCGATTAAGTGCACGCTACCGTGAAAGTGGTGATGTTGCTGAAAGGCACATAGGGCGACATCGCATTACTACCCCTCAGCAAGATCATTTTTTACAATTAAATGCTCGACTCCGACCGGCTCTTACAGCATTAGAGCTTAGTTTAATTCTCCAGGAAACACATAATGTAACCGTTAGTCCTGACACTGTTCGCAATAGATTAAGAGAGGTCAACTTAAGAAGCAGACGCCCCTGGAGAGCTCGACCCTTAACGAGAGGAAATCGAGAGGTACGATATTTATGGGCTCAAGATCATGTTCAGTGGTCGAATGAACAATGGGCTAATGTTCTCTTCACGGATGAGTCACGCTTTGGAATTCATCCGGATTCGAGAAGGCTTAGGGTATGGAGAGAACCAGGAAATCTTATTCGGTTGGATCATGTTCAGGAAGTGCACCCTTATCAAGGTGGAACAGTTATGGTCTGGGGAGGAGTCCAGTTAGGCCGAAAACCCGATCTCGTTTTTCTTGAAAGGTTTCTAACAGGAATCACATATCGTGATTTAATTCTTGAGCCTGTCGTGTTACCATATGCCAATGATTTTGGGAGAAACTTCATTCTCATGCATGACAATGCATGGCCTCATACAGCCAGAGTGGTAAGTGAGTGGAGGCTATACCCTTTATTAAGTAAAAATAGTTTTATCTTTTTTTTTAATTCACAGTTTAGAATAAAAAAAAATGTGTGTTTTTTTTGAGTTCAATAAAAATCAAGGTAAATTTGAAAAATTCGGTAAATTTCGCATTTTTATTTCCAATACGTCCTGTAAACTATTTGTTTATTTTAATTTTATTATATCAGAAATGCAAATAATAAAATTACTGACGATGGTTGGATAAAATTGTAATATCCCTAGACTTTTCCGGTGTGTGTATATTACCATAGAAACGCGCTTTTTGATTTTTAGGACTTATATGGTCTGGATATAGATAAAATGGTATGGAAATTTCAAAAATTATAAACGGAATTAACCATTTTATAACAAGCAAAAATTTTATAAAAATACATTTTTTCTCAAAATGTCAATAATAAAAAGTTCTTCCTCTTGTAAAGACAATCCGGGGACATACTGTACAATTTTTCATAAATAAACAGAAAATCTTAGGTAGAAAGGTTGTCTTTACTGTTATATTAAACCTATGTTTATTGCAATATACACGTTTCTTTTCGATATTTTGACTTGTTAAAAATAAAATCAATAAACAACAGGTACTTCTAATTTTTGAATAAATAACAGTAACAAGTAACAATATCTACTGTTTCTACTGTTATTTAAAAATTACTTTTACCCCAGTCTACAACATATTGGTATTGTGCATATCGTGCTCAGAAGTGAGAACCTCATTATTGGGTCATTTATAGATACTCTTGTCTCTGTTTAACATCCATAGATTGTGAAGAGACAGAAGGTGGTACGCATACTCTCGAAATATCCATCTGAGTATTGAATAATTTGTGCTATGTAATATCTTGTTTAAATTTTATTTGCTATGTGTTATCAATGCTTTAATATCAACGTTATTTTTCTTTATAATTCGGTTCATAAATTATTTAAGAATTGAAAATATTCAACTTACGTTTTGCCATTGATCATCCAAGATCTGAACCTGGCTCTGGATTCGTGAACGCATCTGGATTCTGCACTTCTACAGGACCACGTTAAAACCATCTGTCTGATTCTTCTGGTAATGTAATCGTCGATATCATCGTTAAAATCTACTAACTGGTAGGTCCTCTTAAATATCGCTTTGTGATATTCCTAAAATTGTCTTCAATAGTAAATCATTAACAAAAAGTATACCTACACAAATCAGTCACCATTCTTGAAAGCAATACTGTAGTAATGTTAATTTTATCAATCTAAGATGAATACGAATACTCTTTCGAGATTTCAAAGGTTTTTCAATTATTAGAAGGCACTTATTAGAACCAGAGATGGGTAGTAACATTTTGAAGAACCAGAGATGATATTTAGAAATATTTTAGACATGAAATAATATGTAAATTAAATGAAAAATCTAAAATATATCATCAACAAGTGTTGTTTAGGCTCTCCTTTATAGTCAGCAAGTCAGTTGTTGGTGTTGTATAACACTTTAATATAGGTAGTCATGTTGTAATGATGAATGATATTTATATACCATACGAACGAAAAATAAATGGTGTCGGAAATGAATTGGGAATGAATATTGCCGTCGTTTTGTATGTAAAATTGTACTGCGACTGTCACGATCCAAGCCAACTTGACGTCGTTTTTTTTTTCGATCATAGTGCATTTAGAAAGTAAAATCAACGTTATTTATATATTTAGGCGCCTTAATCATTTTAGAATTAAAAAGCGAATGATCATACCTAAATTTTATTGAGACTTAAGTTTCATTCAGAAGCTCGCAATTAGTAGAATAAATTAGTGGTTTCAATTACACTTTATACATTTTAAGCTTCATTTAAAACCTCGAAATCAGTGGAATAAATTAGTAGTTTCAATTAGTTGTATAAGCATTCAGAACGTCATAATTAGTGGCAGTAATTTTCAATTAGTGGAAAAAGTTAACAAACCTTTGACTTTTCCAATAATTATTATTCTTTAAAATTTGCGAGGAATGTCATTTTGGCCTTTGATTATCACCCGGCAAGAAAAATTATGGTTAGAAATCAAAAGTTTATTGTTTTATAAGCTAAATATTATGTTTTCTCTATGGATACAACAGACTACCGCAAGCTGTTGCCAGGATATTTTATTAATTTTAATTGTGTTTTTTAGACATTATGAATGATCGTAAACTAAAAAGTATAAAGTGTAATTGAAACCACTAATTTATTTCACTAATTGGGAGGTTCTGAATGAAGCTTTAGTTTACGATCATTCACAATGTTTAAAAAACACAATTAAAATTAGTAGGATATCCTAGAAACAGCTAGCTTGCGTTAGTCAGTTTTCTATCCACAGAGAAAGCCTAATATTTAGCTTATAAAAAAATCAACCCTTGATTTCTAACCACAATTTCTCTTGACGGAAAATAATCAAAGGCCAAAATGACATTTCTCGCAAACTTTGAAGTACAGTACGTCTGTCCGTGCTGTAGCTACGGGGTATCCGTGAGAGGGGAAACGATATTCTCTCGATGTTTTTCGTAAAAAAATAGACGAAGCGTCCCATCAATAAAAATTCAACAAATTTGCAAGTAGCCAATAAAATGAGTGGGCGGAGCGATTTGCGGTGACGCACTCGTCAAATCGACGTATAAAATATATTGCTGTTTATTTAAATGTTTTTTGTCCGCATTCCTTTCATAGACCCAGATCCAGCAGATGTACTGTATACTATTAGTGAAAAAGTTAAAAGTTTGATAACTTTTTCTGCTACTTGAAAATGTCTACCACTAATTTTGACGTTCTGAATGCTTACATTGAAATTAAAGGAACAAACTTCTACGTTAATTGAAACCACTAATTTCTTCCACTAATTGTGAGGTTCTGCAAAACTTATGATGCTAAGTTTATTAGAAGTATTTTGGTGCAATGTGGTGCAAAGTATTTTTTTCTTTTAAATGAAATTCTATTAGTCAATGACAAACTGAACAGCATTATTACCTCGAATAATCCAAAAGCTGGAGTGTCGTATAAGATGTCACTAAGAAATGATAATTTGTCGAAAGCTACGGCTGTGGGAATGAACATTATTTGTTCGTCTTGGACAGCCATTCTGAAAATAATGTAAAATTTAGTGTTGGCTTTTGATAAATACAGGCAGTAGCCATTATTAGAATTAATACGGATCTTTGTGTTAATTTGACTTAGATTTAGTTATAGAAATACTGTGTTATGTATACTACATGGTACAATTTAGGTATATCAAACATCTCATGAAAAAATCATGAAATTAAGTTTTTCGCGAACGCTTCATAGACGTGTTTCTGGGATTGAAATATACTACCCCTAAAAATATTGGCACTTATTTAAGACTCACCCTGTACAGGGTGTCGCCTCTCATACGCCGCGGAGGCTCCAAGGAGAACGAGAGTTTGTATTGAAATTAAATTTTATTTAAAAATATAGAGAGTTCTACAGGGTGTCCCCCAAAAAAGTTATATATCAAAGTTGTGTTTTTTGTAATTGAACGCCCTATATATTAATTGATTTTCGAATTCTGGGAGAAAAATAAAGGTGAGTTTTATAAGAAAAGTATATGACTAAAATGTAAGGTTTTGACATATTTAACGTTTTCTAGAAATAAAGAACAATTTTTAAATTATAATAAAAGCTACCTAAATTGGAATTCACCTTATATAGTCTAATATGTAGTTAAATTAACTATTGTACTTTAAATCAAATTAAAACTTGATACCAAAAGTTATACAGGGTGAGACAAAATTAATATTGAACATTGGTCACTTTTAAAAGCATGTTACTCTCTTATTTTAAATGGAACACCCACATATTATTCCGATATTTAATGGAGAATTAATGTCTCTTCAAAATACTATTAAGGTTGCCTACCCCTCAAACAAAGATTTTCATAGATATTTTCATTTACGTGATTTGATCTGAGTAGATCTTTATTATTTAATAAAATCTAGGTGGCTGTGATATGTCTAACGTTACTTCAACATAGCTGTCTAATTAGTCTAATTTTAACAACTAGTTATCATTTTGTGTCAGTTACAACACACAAAAAAATTTCTCAGAAATTTGCCGAAAAGGCAAACTGAGAATTGATATGATTCTATTAGTTGGTGAATGCACCAACTAATAGAATACTTAAATGCTCCTGATTTATCTAGTCTGTTTTTTTATGGGGATATGTTAAAGACAGTGTTTACAAAACTCGACCTAGTGTCGACAACATGAGAGAAATTATTGTAGCTGCTTTTCGAGGTAGAACTCCACATAATGCCTTTTAAAATGAAAGGATCCTTTTTGAGCATTTGATTTCATCTGGCTAATTTTTGTCGCATAATTATAGGTTTATATCTAGTTTTAATTCTGTAATAATTAAAACATGTTTTAAACGTGTATCTTTTTATTACCCTTGAGTATTTTACTATACAATTTTTAATTTTTGTTAAATTAACAAAATATATATTACACAGCCACCTAGATTTTTCAAATAATAAAGATTTACTGACGCAAAATCATAAAAATTAAAATATCTCGGAAAATCTTTGTCTGAGGGGTAGGAAACCTTAATAATATTTTGAAGATATAAATTCCCCATTGAACACCGGAAAATATACTGGGTGTTCCACTTAAAATAAAGGAGCTTTTAAACTTTTTTTAGTTACTTGACTAATGTTCCATATTAATTTTGTCTCACCCTGTATAAGTTTTCGGGTCAAATTTCAATTTGGTTTAACATACAATGGTTACTGTAATTAAATATCAGGCTATACAAGGTCAACGAAAATTTTGGTAGCTGTTAATCGAAATTTAAAATTTACTCTTCATTTTCACAAAATGTAAAATATGTCAAAATCCTTAGATTTTAGGTATATGCTTCTTTAATAAAATTCACTTTTATTTTTTTCCTAGAATCCGAAAATCAATTAATATAATATAGGGAATATTAGAAAAAACACAACTTTAATGTGTAACTTTTTTGGCGACACCCTGTATAATTCTTTATATTTTTATAAAATGCTTTCAGTTAACCTACATATGGTGCCAACATTTCATTTCGATATAAACTACCGTTCTCCTAGGTGCTTCCGCGGCGTATGAGAGGCGCCATCCTGTATATGTGATCTTAAAATATTATTTTATTTGGATAAACTTTGTATAAAAAAATATATATTATACATTGTATAATAACCTTGCTATCATACGAAGTGGAATTTCGTAGTCCAGTTGGCTGGCACGTGCCAAATCCATCGCGTCAGTAATGAGTTGAGCTCTGGCTAGCGCTGGTACTGCCATTATCCTTTCACTCAATCTTTTCCAGTTCTTCTCGTCGTAATTTACCAAGTAGTATCCTTCAAATTGAAACATTTGGTTCACATATGCAATAATCAGTTTATTAAAAGATAACTTGTATACCTGTATAATTTAAGTTTAACAAATACCAATCTCCGATGGGATCTACTTGGACTACAACTTCTTTTTCACCTCTCAGCCATATCTTGGGCTTGGTATCCAAATTATTTTGGGTCAGACTACTACTGGTGTACGAGATGGGTATCCACCATCTTGTATCATCGCTGGGTTTGGGATTGTTTAACAAAAATCGTTTCTGAAAATGCCGAAGATTAAGTATTTGATTTAAGTTAAGTAAAAAAATATTATACGGGGTTATTCACACAATCTGTTCATTGAAGTATATTTGTATCTAATTTAGATACAATAAAATCTTCATGATTTTATATGAATGATTTTCAGCACATAGTGCACATACATGTTTTTACATATTACTAAAACGTACCTGAACAAGTTTTAAAGTATTTTTTACATAATCTGGTACGACATTGATGACAGGAAAACCGGCCTGTTCAGTCCAGGTACTCATGATCTCGTTGACCGTCTCATTAGGCAGCAAAGCGCCACTTCTATGCGCCTCCTCTGTCAAACTGTCAAACAGATCGTCCCTATCGGCATTACCGAATTTGAATTTTTCCAGATATTTAATCAGCCCAGTTTTGAAAGTGTCCTCTCCAAGAAAATGGTTCATCATACGTATAATACTTGCTCCTGTAAAACAAAATACCTATTCCTTAAAGTTTTTTTAGAAACATAATAAAAATATTCATCAAATAAAAAAAATTGAAAGAAATTGTTATTTTATAACTTTGGGAGAGATTTAAATGTGTAGAAAAATAAGGCTAATTATCGCGTAATAAGAAATAATTAAAAAATTACAGAAAAATAAAACTATCAAATTGTAACTATTTAAATACAATATAAGACAATATTCCAATCTTACCTTTAGCATAAGAAATGTCGTCGAATGCCTGTTTGATTTGCCTACTATTGATAAATTCATAACTGATAGGCCTAGAATATTCCAGTCTGTCTACACTCATTGCCCTCTGAATTTCACTGGGTATAAATTCTTCCATGATTTTCCATGATGGTTCGGCCTACGAAATAATATATATATAATTGACATTGAAATTACATTTTGTAGCAAATCCGTTAAAGAAAATGACCAAAGGACAGAAATATTCTTTCTATATTTGTATATTAAGGTGCGTACAGACCTAACGAGACAAGCGCGAGACGAGAGCGTAACAAGAGCGAGACGAGCGCAAGACTAATTCCATTCATTTTTTGTGAGACGCCTGCCATGAGCCATGCAACTTATGTACATTTTTTTTTCCACAATAAGGGGCCGTCCTCTGCCGGAAACACTGCGACCTGTGAGGCCTACTGTGTTTAACTTATGTACATGGTGGCGCCTCTCATACGCCCCGGAGGCCCCAAAGAAAACGACAGTTTGTATTGAAATTAAATTTTGTGAGCATATGTAGGTTAATTCAGAGCACTTTTTAAAAATATAGAGTGTTCTACAGGGTGTCACCAAAAAAAGTTGTTTTGTAATGGAACACCCTCTATATTAATAGATTTTCGGATTTTGGGAGAAAAACAAAGGTGAGTTTTATAAGAGAAGATGACTAAAATGTAAGGTTTTTGACATATTTAATATTTTCTATAGAAATAAAGAACAATTTTTAATTTAAATAAAAGCTACCTAAATTGGAATTTGCCTGGTATAACTTAATATGTAGCTAAATTAACTATTGTACTTTAAATCAAATTAAAACTTGATCCAAAAAGTTATACAGGGTGAGACGAAATTAATATTGAACATTGGTCACCTTCAAAAGTATTTTACTTATTTACTTATTTTAAATGGAACACCCAGTATATTATTCCGATATTCAATGGAGAATTCATGTCTCTTTAAAATACTATTAAGGTTCCCTACCCCACAAACAAAGATTTTCCTAGATATTCTCATTTACATGATTTGATCTGAGTAGATCTTAATTATTTGATAAAATATTTGATAATAGGTTTTAAAATCTGATAGCTGTCTAATTTAGTCCAACTTTAACAACTAGTTTATCATTTTGTGTCAGTTAAAACAAAAAAAAATCACAGAAATATACCCAAAATGCAAACTTATCCTACATCAGAAAGAATTGATATGATTCTATTAGTTAGTGAATGCAGTAGTGTGCGTTCACCAATAATTAATAAAATACTTTAATGCTACTGATTTTATCTAGACCGATAGATAATACTTATCTGTTTTTTTTAATCTTTGTGTGAGGGGTAGGCAGCCTTAATAATATTTTAAAGATATATAAATTCCCCATTGAACACCGGAATAATATACTGGGTGTTCCATTTAAAATAAAAGAGTAACTTGCTATTAAAAGTGACTAATGTTCTATATTAATTTTGTTTCACCCTGTATATCTTTTCGGGTCAAATTTCAATTTAGTTTAACCAATGGTTATTGTAATTAAATATCAGGCTATACAAGGTCAACTAAAATTTAGGTAGCTGTTATCGAAATTTAAAATTTACTCTTCATTTTCACAAAATGTGAAATATGTCAAAATCCTTAGATTTTAGGTATATGCTTCTTTAATAAAACTCACCTTTATTTTTTTCCTAGAACCCGAAAATCAATTAATATATAGGGTGTTCCATTAGAAAAAAACACAACTTAGATGTGTAACTTTTTTTGGGGACGCTCTGTATAATTCTATATATTTTTATAAAATGCTTTTAGTTAACCTACATATGCTGCCAAAATTTCATTTCGATATAAACTACCGTTCTCCTTGGAGCTTCCACGGCGTATGAGATCTCGCAATCGAGCGAGCCTTCCACAAACACGTCTAGGCTGTGCCGCGAGATTTCTTTGATCGGCCGTTGAAAACCGACAGAGGACGGATGCTATCCGACTTCGTGGGTTGTCTCGCGAGACCCGTTCACACTTAGCAAATTTGGAATTTGGCGCTCGTCTCGCTCTCGCGACGTCAGATCTGTACGCACCTTTAAAGATGGAAGAGACGTCATGATAGCCATCTCTAATGCCGTTTTTCACAATTATTCGACGTTTCTCTTACATTTGATTTTTTTAGTTTGGTACGATTCTCTCTGTTTAATCTGTATTATTTCTTGTTAATTTTTTAATTGGTTTTATGTAAAATATATAAATCTACAAAGACATTGCGCCAGAACTTCAATGAGAGTGGGATTATCGCGAATATTAGAAAGAGGCTTGAACATGGAACAACTTTCACAAGTAAGTAATTATATGATACATGTTAATTGGGTTGTTTAAGTTCGTTATATCGAAAGCCTTTCGCGGTCTCGCTAATTTTGTTCATATACGAGTACTCCTTCTTTAGTCATTTTATTCAAGGGTTAAATGAAACACACATGATCTACTCCAAGGTACATCAAATATGTCGCAAATCCTTCTTTTAACCATAGATCGTTCCACCATTTGGGTGTGACAAGGTTACCGAACCATTGGTGCGCTATTTCGTGAGATAGTACTGTTGCGATGGTTCTTCTGTCTTCGACGGTTGAACCATAATTGTCAAAGAGCAGGTTGCTTTCTCTAAAATAAAGAAATTGATTGAAAACAGTCCATTTATTAGCGATTTGTTGTTACCTGAATGTGATGAGACCCCAATTTTCCATAGCGCCGAAGCCGAATTCTGGTAGAGCCACAATATCAATTTTGGGGAGGGGAAATCTTATACTAGAATAAAATAAAATTACTTGAAATTTAGTTGATTAACACTGAGTCTTCATGAAACTCGGCTGTGACACCGTTCTTCCCGATTCTTATGTAAAATGGCCTCCTGAATACAAAATATCCAAAATCAAGAATCCAATAAAAATGTTGGCTTCTACAATGCTATTTTTGGAGTAAAGGTAATAGAGATTTCTCTCCCGCTGAAATAGTTATAAAATAACTTTGAATGTGGTAGATAATGATACAGTATTGAAACTAAAAGAATGCATATTTACTCTGCAAAAACCCTAGACGATATATTATATCCAATTGCAAGTCTGACTCATTGGTGCGCCAGCCTGAGGAGGATGATCTCTTTCTCTTAACGATTCCATATGTGAAAGGAACATCGGAGAAGACCAGGCGAATAGCCAAGCAGTATAAAATTAAAACTGTTTTTAAGTCTGGGATTACTCTGAACTCTGCGAAGTGTTCTAACATAAATAAGAAAAAGAGTGCATCTACTATGTAACTTTTGAGTGCGGTGAATCGTATATTAGGGAGACAAAACGTCCTCTACATGGACGACTTGACGAACATAAAAAAAATACACAAAGAGACAATACAATGAAATCGGGCATTGCAGATCATGTGTGGTCCAAGCACCACAACATAAAATTGTGGGAAGCCAAGGTTATCCACAAAGAACCCCAATGGAAAAGCGGAAATTTAAAGAGGACGTATTAATATATCTAATATTAATGAAATCTTTAGCAATCCCAGTATGGAAATTTCAATAACATGACAACCACTCAATGCAGGTATTCTCAGTGGACAACATGCTTGACTGCACCCAACTAATTCAAGAGTGAATGCTTGGCTCTAGTATGTAAGCTCAGTAGTCTTAGGATTTAGATTACTACGAGATAAATAAATAACTATGAGATATAAATACTCTTTGATTACTTAATAACGGTCAGTGATTCTCCTGACCGAAACGTTGTGTAAGCAAAATAAATAAAGACAATGGAAGTCCAAAATTCTTTTAGTTTCAGTAATAAAATCAATAAACATGATCGTAAGGAAACAGGAGCTATATTTGGAGGACGTCATTTTACATGAGAATCAGCAAATGGTGCCAGGGCCCGAGACAATTTTTTTTGCAGACCAGTGTAACTGGTCAATGCAACCGGATACTGCAAACTCGATGGTCACCTTCACGAAATAAATCTAAATCGTATACACCTTCAGAAAATGAAGAGACACTTTTTTAAAAATATTTAATTTTATTTACCTGAAATAATCCTCAAAGTATCTCAAAATTGTTGGGGCAATGTTAGCAGCATAATTCGTCTGAGATAAATATTCTTTTCTGGCCCAGACTTTAATATTTCTATCGGATGATTGCATAGATATTAAGTCACTCATGACAAATGCAACTAAGTATGTAGGCATTTCGGGTGTTTCGGGATAGTTGTCCCAATACCAGGCACCTTCCACTGTTCTAAACACAGATATAAAAAAGTAAGTTATTATGATGTAAAAATTTGCATCTTTCATCAAAGTCATCTTTTCTTATTATTTTACAGGATGACCCAGTTAGTGTTCCGAAAAAGTCAACTATCCTTGTGTGAGATTTCCACCTCAATCTTTTTGTTTCAATAGTATATTGCATACCGAGGAGGAAAGTGTTTCATTACTGTCGAGAGATTGATATTGTTAATCGAGAGGCGGTAGAGTCGAGATTAACTAAATCCCGAGACAATAATGAAAACTTTCCTCCGAGGTTTGTATACCATTTTATTTACAACCACATCATTAATTAAACAATAGGGACAAAATAAATATGCGAACATTCTGTTTTGGCATTTCCATATCTATAGTTGCCGGTACCAGTGGTTATTATGGCGCAAATCTTCAACAGCAAAACAGACGACTAAGTGACAGTTTTGAATTTCTCGCTTTTTCGAATTTGTATACCATAGAAAGCCAGAATATTGTCGGAAAGTTCTAATAATGAAGACTACTTTAATATTGGTACTCCACCAGAACTTACAGAAGCTGCAAAAAGAGCAGAAGCCAGTTTACTTCCAGAGAAAAGTAGGGGGCAATAATATCGCCGCGATATGAAATAGCATTGAAAGTATACGAAAAATGGTGTGCCGAAAGAAATGCTAAGAATATTGCTTCGGAGACAGTCTTGATGGCATATTTTAGCGACATGGCAAGGCAGAAAAAGCCATCTACTCTTTGGGCTACGTACAGCATGATACGGACAATGCTAGAATTAAGGGAAAAGACTGACATATCAAAATATCACATACCCGTCGCTTTTTTAAAACTCCAGAATGTAGGTTTTAAGCCAAAGAAGTCTAGCATTTTTTACCTTCAACAAATAAATGTTCAAATCTTCAATTATTATTGTTAATCTTCTTGTTTATTTTTGTTGATGTTAGATAAGTATTTAATAAAGATATTACAAGAATATTTTGCTTAATTAAATGAGGCGGGAAATAAGAAAAACCGAGTAAGGGAAATGGGTGAGGGAAATGAAAGAGGGAAGAAACAAACAAACCAAACCAAACACCGTGCTATAGTTTGCTGACATGATACTTCCGAAGTATCTTTGGAATGAGAATTTAATAACAAATCCACTGAGCTAATAAAACATATTCCATTAAAAATACTTTGTTGTTTATTAAGAGAAATATTTGGTAGAAAAAGGTTTTAACCAACTAATATACAGGGTGAGGTCTTTTACAAGTGCAAATATTTTCAGGGCTGGTAGATCTCGATAAAAGAAACATATTTTATCTTTACCGTTTTTCAAATAAGTCCAAAAAAAAACCAAATATTCAAGTTTAAAAGTAAAAAAAAGTATTTACTTTTAAAAAATGTTGATAGCCACCGGATCTTTTATGTTATTGCATCCCTTTTAGTGCCGTAACTTTGGCCAAAAAGTTTAAAAAATTTTCCGCTGGTTTAAAAAGTTTTCTAAAATACAGGGTGGTCCGAACTGTATTCCGTAAACTTCGACAGCATATTCTACAGATAAAAATAAGTAAAAAAGTTCGTATAAATGTATGTCCTAAATTGCTTAGTTTCGGAGATACAGTATGTAGAAGTTCCATTTGTATTTCGATTTTTTCCAAATAATTTCTGAAATAACGTCACTATTTAGATGAAAATTTTCTGCATTCTGTTGAACTTTTGACACAAAATCATTTCAAATTTATGATTTCAGCCCAATAACTATTTAGTCAACATGTTTGATTTATGTCAATGATGACAGGTATTAATAATTTCGATTCCAAATATCTGGAGAACCATTACCGACCATTACTCGTAGCGATTTTTACCAAGAGACATTTCTTATGTAAAAAAGTCGCAAATGTATATTTTTTTACTCCAGTAGTTTTATTCAGGTACGGACGAGAAGTTATTACTCTTCAAACCAGTTAAAAATATGTATGTGGCGCCCTGTACAAGTAGGAGTCATATTGACGTCAAAATTAAATTTCTCATGTTAAAAAACTTCCAGACACCAATTTTCATCCAAATATTGACTTTACTTCAGAAATTTTTTGGAAAAAATCGATATAAAAATGAAATTTCTACATCCTATAACTCCGAAACTAAGTACTTTAAGACATACATTTATACGAACTTCTTTATTTATTTTTATCTGCAGAATATGCTACCGAAGTTTCCGGAATACAGCTGGGACAACCCTGTATACAGAAAAAATTATAAGAAAATGCACGATCTTCAACATCTTTTTTTGCGAAAAAAACTTCATATACTTGGGGTCGAAAATACCACCCCTAAAAATATTTGCACTCACCCTGTGTTAGTTTAGAGTTTTTCGGAGAGCTGGGACATCCTGTATACATTTATATTATTGCTAATCTAGGCACTTACGGTAATATTTCGCTTCTTTCCAAAGGCATGTTGGATAACGTCGACATGTTTCCAGGCCTAGCCAGCCGTATGTTAAATTTCGCCTTAAAATACGGCTCGTCGAAGCACGGGAATGCTCTCCTAGCATCAGTTGGTGAAAACTGAGTACTGGCAGCGATTCTGTAAGTAAAATAACCTCCGGTAAGTGTCAGAATCAAAGAAATACGTCCAAGATATAACCTGGTCTCTCCAGAAGGTGACTGGTAATGGCTTTTATAAAATCCTTGCAGCTGATTGTTAAGTTCTCCTTGGTATCTTAAATTTAGAGAGTACGTTTTGTCTTTTTTCAGTTTCTGATCGACCACTATCCTGTATCTTTGTCCTTCTAGGTAGTCGTGAGATCTGATTGGTAGAGAATCTAAAAATTTATTTTTAAGGAAAAATTCTTACTCAATGTAGAAACTTTTTCGTATTTCAAAAATCGCTTGAAAAAAGTTTGTTCATCGTCGGTACATCAATACCTTATAATCGAAAAAAAAACGGAGTCTAGTTGGCTCGTCTAAATGACGATCGATGGCATTTCCCATATAATTTTACATATAAAATGATAGCGATCTTCATTTCAAAGCTATCGATGACGCCGTTTTTTTTCGATCATATTTTATAAGATACAAGTATTTATTTGTTGTATTTTACTTTTAAAATACACTCACCTACACGAAAAAACGGGCACCTTAAAATTTTGATGCATTTTAAAGTTTAATATATTTTTTTCTAGTGGGCCGATTTTATCATCTAAGTACGCCTTTTCTCGATAGTTTGTTTTTGATTCCTTACAATATTTTTATTTTTATTTTTTATTATTTTTTTTTAATTTATTATTTTTATTGGAGATAATATTCGCTTTTGAATAAGACAGTAACGATTTACACCAATTTTAGCATTGATTTTAGGTCCTCATCAAGACGCTTATAAAATAGTGTTTATTACTTTTGTAATATCACTGTCATTGAAAAGTCATATTATTATTGTTTATACTACTGCTTTACTCTAGGTAAAGGTATCTCTCCACAGAGTATTGCTCAGAGTACTCTCTCTCCACAGAGTATTGCTCATGGTTTGCTCTAACGAATTGACATGAGAGATAAAAAAAAAGTATCGGCTATTGCTGCTTTAATTGATCATGGTAGAGATCAACTTTTGGACTTAAAACCATATCTGTTAGAGTAACTGCCCAACAGACAATAATAATATGATTTTTCAATGACAATGGCATTAAATAAATCCTTTGCATAAATCATAAACACTATTTAATCTACGACAATGTCATTATGACACATTTAACATTGTCATTTGGATGTCATTATGGCTTTCATAATAGCACTAGTGCTATTATGAATTCATAATAACACGCAAATTTTAAAATAAGAAACAAGCAAAAAAAGGTACCTAAATACGTTTATTTATTGAAAACATTAATTTTAATATCAGTACAATTGGTTAAATTAATTCCAGACTATGACAGGTGAGTTGAGTTTTTAGAGAGTAAATTTATTTCCTGAGTGCTTGAACTTGTTGAAGACCCATCATTGCCAGAAATGTTACCCAAAATATTACATGACACTTTTTTGTTATTTTCTTTGGAATTTTCTATATACCTCTCTGCCACTGTGATGTGTTAGAGCGCCAACCACCATGTCTTTTAACAGTTAATAAATCCACGCCTGAATCTGCAAGCAACGACGCAGACGATCTATGGAAACAATGTCCAGTGTATTGTTGTGAATTTGGAAGACTTAGGAACAATGCTATTATTATACGGCATTTTCCTTAAAGTATTAATGCCAACGGGTTGCTTAATACATTTTCCATTTCTGTAACCCACAAAAAATCGAGTATGCTCTGTGTTGCTTGGCCGCATAGCTATATATCTTCGAACCATTTCCACCATATTTATTCCTTCAACATTCCCTTCGTTATAAATAAATCTCGTGATATCTTTGTTTTCGTAAATGGAATAATGGCATGAATGCATTGTTCTTCATCTTTAACATTATGCAGCTGCAGATTTGTCAACTCGATACGCCGGCAGGCTCCCGCAAGTGAAATCTATCCACTATCAATGAAACTTTTGTCAGGAAATAAGTTTTATCATCGGCTTCTAACAAAAAACGAGTTATGCCTTCTTTTCTTAAAATTCTCGATTTTTTTGACCGAAATCCTTCCGATTTTCTTTTTAAAAATGCAATTAAATGGACGTACTTACTAATATCTGTATTTTTCTTCACTGATATAACTGAACGTAGCATGGAATAATATACCCAAAGTGATGAAGGCCTTCCTATGTTTTGAAAGATGTTCAAAATATGCCAGGAGAACCTTTTCGTTACTATTATTCTTTATTCCTTTCCCTTTACACCAATCTTCAAGTTTTACATAGGCTTGCTCGTACGTTTGTCTTGATTTTTCGGGAAGTAGGGAATCGACAACGTTTTGCGCAATGCCTTCAATATCTGAAGGAACACTTTCAGAATCAAAATCACCCATATTAATATTATTTTTTGCTTTTTGCTAAAACTGAACGTTTAACACAAAATTGAACATCAATAATTGAGTTGTCAAAGTCAAAATGGAAACAATCAACAAGCACGGTTACCACGGCGTCGGCGTCGACTAATATGGACACCTGATAATTTTGAATTTTAATTTTTATGAGGATATCTCTGATATTTTAAATTAAATCAAATCTCTTGGGATCGTCCCTCGTGTCGCGTCGTAGATTAAATTTTGAATGATACACGTTCGATACGAACTTTTTAATGAAACTTGTGTAACTAAACGTTACACGCGTTTCATTATGATATTCGTATCGAACTTGTATCACTAATAACTAGTATAGGTTTGTCGACTAGAACCAAAAGAAAATGCATGGCTTTAATGTAAAAAATTCGAAAAAATGTTGTCTTCTTCAAAAGCAAATATCTCCAAAAAAATGAAGCTATTGAGATGAACCAAAAAACAAACTATCGATAAAACATACACCTAGATGACAAAATAATTTTTAAATTCCTTGCTTTGTTAATATACTCCACAGAGTATTTCAAACTTTCACTAAAATATCAACATTTTGTTTTCCCTCGTATAATTGACAGACGGTAACTTTGGTTCTTAATTTAGAAAGAGATACTAAAAAGTCAAATAATTTAGCTAGAAATTGCTTAAAAAATGATCAAAATCGGTCAACTAGAACAGAATATACAAAACTTTAAAATACGTGAAAATTTTAAGGTGCCCGTTTTTCGTGCCGGTGAGTGTATGTCAGAAATAATTGCTGGATTTAATGCAAATGCAAGTAGAGTGACTAACTCCAACATAAGATATATTATAGAATGAGAAATGATACAAATATCATTAAAATAATCCAAAATAGATGATCTATAACCTATGACACAAGTTGATATCTTACCACCATTTTGACCATCTGAAGATCTAATATCTAGAGATTGCGAGTCTATGTCTATTTTATTTGCATGGAACGTAATAGTATCTGTATCTTCTGCTGGTTGAAATGTGATGGTCTCTGTTCCTTGTGTAGTACCATTTCCAAAATCCGGCCGAATTTCTATCCTGAAAAAAAAACATTGCGTTATTTTTTTTTAATATAACCCTTATATAACTATTCTTTAGGACAATAGAATAAGTCTTAGAGCGCTTTCACACACACCGCCAAAATCGGTGCCGGAGCCGGTCCTGAAATCGATTGCAAATCTAAATAAATTAGCTCCTTCACATATACTCCGATTTGGTATAATAGTCGTGGACCGGTCCCAATACAATAGGATTAAATCATATACTTAGAATATTATTCTAAGTCTATGGATTAAAGGCGGCCGCACACATTTCCTACTATTCGAAACGATTGTCTGAAACGATTATCGGATCCGATTATCTGACGCTCAAATAAACTATAGGTTATTTAACTATATCGCACACTTACGATCCGATATCGGATCGGACGTCTGAGTCGGATGGTTGGCAGTGCGCCGTACTGGTCGGACCGACAATTGGAAGGTGTTCTATACATTGTTTTTGTCGAGGTTTTTGTATATTGTAGGGCAAACATACGATTATTTTTGTCAGTTTTGATGCGTGAGTTGCTCAGTGCAGGCTTCTTTTATTATTAATTAGTTATAAAAAAATATAAAACGGAAATATTTTGTCGGCAGTGTGCGGTAGTCGTCCGATTCAAAATCGTTTCAGATAGTCGGATCCGATAGTAGGAAATGTGCGGCCGCCTTAAGGCCGGGACACACCTATCATGCACGTTTCCGATCCGAGATTCTATTAGATAGATATATTAAAGTTGTCATTTTATTTATAAAATTATATAGGGGAATGTCACCGACAATCATTTCCACACCAACTAGACGCCGTTTTTTAATCGAAAATCCTAGCGTCTGTAAGTACATTATTCTATTTCAAACTTTAAAAATATAAACACATTTTTTCAGATATTTTAAAAACCGTTATTCCGATTTGAGTGAGATTTTGGGTGTCTATGTTTTGCTAAGTGCTTTAACATTTGACTTTCACAAAAATCAAGAAAATGTATGGGAAGGGTGAAAACTACCCCCACCCCTACATAAAGTTTAGTATAAATATTTTCCAACTCTAACGACGACCGATTTTCTTTTCCTAAAATTGTCCTTCTAGTATTTACTAATTTTTTTTGTCTCTTGTAATAAATCACAACCAAACCAAACCATCGCGGATACTTTTTGAGAAAAAAAAAATATTTTTCCAAAGCTGACATCCAAAAAATATTTTTTGTCATATTAAGCTATACAGGTGCATAAAAAATATTATGCTTTAATAATCTAGTTGGCGAAAATATAGAATTTTATGTTAGTATTACAAATTAGTTTGACAATGAGCTTCATAAAGCTTTTAAAAAAATAATAAATTTTAAATTAATTAACGTTCGGGTTTATTTTTGATTGATGCCCTTTAATGGACAAACGAAGCACTTTTGTATAACGGTAAATATGTGCAATTAAATCATCTTGATACAAAATATACGTAGTTGTTCTATGTCCACGGAATATTGGAACTCCTTTTATATTTTGTAGGTCCGATTTGGAAAAATAAATTCTCCAAACAATTTTTTTCTCAAAAACTATGCAATGTGGTGTATTTTTACAAGAGACAAAAAATGTAGTAAATCGTAGACGGACCATTTTACGAAAAGAAAGTTTGTCGTCGGTAGAGTAGGAAAATATTTATACTAAAATTGGGGTGGGGGTAGTTTTCACCCTTCCCGTACTTTTTTTTGATTTTTGTGAAAGTCAAGTGCTCGGTCAAATGTTAAATCACTTAGCAAAACATAGACACCCAAAATCCCATTCAAATCGGAATAAAGGAGGGCGCGCACTGCATCGGATCGGACCGACCAGCAAAAGCGACTGCGACCATCGTACATATAGACGGCGCCGGCGTCCACTAAAACATTTCGGCCTGTAGAGGCCAGATTCCTACCTCTACCTATCTACGATAGTCGAGTCACCGCCTTCGCCGTTTCTCGCCGGACTGACCGATTCAGTGCGCGTACACCTTAACGGTTCTTAAAATATCTGAAAAAATGTGTTTATTTTTTTTTTCAATTTGATGCCCTCTAGGGGATAAACGAAACGCTTTTGTAGAGAGGTAAATCACGATATACCCAGTAGGAGGTAAATTGTATCCAATAAACTTATTTTTATTCCAAAAACACGTAGTAGTTCTTTATCCACGGAATATTGGGAAACATGGAACACTGTATCCTGTATTACACCAGTGATATTTCATCCAGGAAATGTTAATATAATTATAAACACAATTATTTTACATAAATACACAAATTTGTGTTTTGTTGGAAAATGTCACGATTTTGTTTTCTTAGGTATCAATATTATAGTTATTGATGACTGAAACTACGCCAAAATATATAGAACATAAAAGAAATTTCATATGGAAACGATTTGAAGAACAGGAAACAGTCCCGAAATTTATTTTTTAAAGATTGAGAATCTGAGATTGTGTATTTTTTGATGATCTTTTCTTGAAAACACCTTGTATATTGAAACAAACTTTTTATTAGATAAACTACAAGGTGAGTTTTAAATAAGTGCAAATATTTTTAGCATTAAAGAGTTTTTTTTTGTGAAAAAAAAATAAAATTTGGTATTTTTGGATTTTTTTTGGAAAATTTAAATTTTCAGTTAAAAAACGGTAAGGAGAATATATAATTATTTATATTTTGTGATTGAAGTATGTTTTAAGAGCGTTTCAGTGGAAAAAATCGCGACGACAAATTTAGAAACTCTAATTATAAAGAAAACAGTTACTTTGAAATAGATAGGTATACTTTAGAGGATTTTAATTTTACAACTTAAAATTTTATTGTTTTAGACCCATAAACAAGGAAAACTCTCCTTTACAGTTGCGGTTAAATATTTATGGCCTTCCTTGTCTTACTTAGGCTGTAGTAGTTTATTTGATGGTGCTCGAAATACTTCGTCACTGGCATAAACAGAATAGTTCCTTGAACCCCCTGCCAATGTAGGATATATCTCTGATCTCTAATAAATTTTATTAAAAGTTATTTGCCGCATGCTACGTTCATTTATTTGATAGTTTAGCTTTTATAGCGTCGACTATTCTTTATGATCTCGGAATTCAAGATAACCGGCTGTAAACTCGTATAAACCTTTATTTTAACATCCTAAAACATGTCTCAAAACCTACATATGACAGCGTGTGCGCGACTTGTAGATAACTGCGGTCAAAGGTAAATAAATCGATTTTCTGCGCATTTTTTGCAAATATCTCGTTTCCTTTCACATTTACGCTATTTGTATTTATTGTAAATATTGTCGAGGATAAAATTCTCTACAACTTTTGTTTCAAAATTTTTTTTGTATCTCAAACCGTTTTTGAGATAGAGGGCGGTGAGCGAGCAATCTTTCATTATGTACGGTATCATTTAAGTTCAACCTGTAGTCTCGGTCAAAAACACGCCGTATAAAATCCGTTAATTATTGAAAAATATGTAATTATAAATAATTTACATTTTTTCATAAAAGATCATATTGAATATAATATATTTTTTCCATAAATTAAGTATATCTTCATTTAATAACACTTACCTCTTTGTACAATTAGAAAACTATTAACAGAAATATTTTAATTACATTTTAATTACCTATAGTTAGATTTATACTAATTACATTTTAAGTAAATAAAAAGACAAGAAATACATTTTTAATTTATGTCTATTAAAAAATACGATTTCATACATTTATCATGGTTGAAATTAAAAAAATTGAATAAAAATAAAAAGAACTCCATGTTCTTATTTTTAGTTTTCTTCTTCTTCATCATCATCGTCGTCTGGTCGTTGTGGAATTTTAAATTCTTCATTTTCATCTTCAACGACATTTGTCTCCAAGTCTTCTAGGATTTCGGGGTCAAATGTACCATCTTCATTGACAAGGCAACCCTGATTTCCTGCATCCACATCGCGAACCACAATCATTCTTGCAGTTGCAGAATATTGTGTTCGGCAAATTTTCTGGAGCTGGAGGTAGAATAGTAGTGGTAGGTTTCAGAAATCCATTACGCATTATCCAACCCCAGTCCTGGGGTTCTAAATCATGCCCTAACCAAGTCTGAACTTGGTAGTAAACACGATTGAAATGTTGGTGAGCTGCTGCACTTGTTGGTTGAAGATTTGATAATTGTACAGGTTTATTCAGTTTGGTTGATTTGATAAGTTGTGTATAATGATGATCGATGCTGTTCTCAGATTTTGGAGCATTATAGATTGCTAACAAAGTTCGCACTCCATTCTCAAATAATTTTCTAATTCTACAAAGAGGTAAGTGTTATTAAATGAAGATATACTTAATTTATGAAAAAAATATTCTATTAAATATGATCTTTTTTGAAAAAATGTAAATTATTTATAATTACATATTTTTCAATAATTAACGGACTTTATACGGCGTGTTTTTGACCGAGACTGCAGGTTGAACTTGAATGATACCGTACATAATAAAAGACTGCGCGCTCACCGCCCTCTATCTCAAAAACGGTTTGAGGTACAAAAAAATTTTTGAAACAAAAGTTGTAGAGAATTTTATCCTCTACAATATTTATAATAAATACAAATAATGTAAATGTGAAAGGGAACTAGATATTTGCAAAAAATGCGCAAAAATCGATTTTTTGACTTTTGACGTCAGTTATCTACAAGTCGCGCACACGCTGTCATATGTAGGTTTTGAGACATGTTTTAGGATGTTAAAATAAAGGTTTATACGAGTTTACAGCCGGTTATCTCGAATTCCGAGGTGAAACCCCTAAGATGACTGGACTATTAGGTCTTCTTCTAGGTCTCTGGATTCCTCGTGGGTACCATACTGTAATTTTTGTGATCTATCTCTTGTTCGTCCTTCATGCTAGGTGTTCTGTCCATTGCCACTTGAGGAATTTGATTCAGTAGATGACATTTATTACTTGGGTCTTTTGGTGCAGACACTATTTTTTTACGGTCTCTCTTCGTTATTTCCAGCATATTTTCTTATAAT